GTCATCCACAAGAAAAACAAATAACCACCTGTCTCATAACCGAAGGTAGACGAAGCGTCTCCAGGTTCGTCCAACGCCTCAGAGCAAATTATCTCCTCAACATCTGGTCACATGATCACATTCCTGCTCCCCATAGGACGAACCCTTTAGATTGTAAATGCCCCCGACCTTTCTGCTAGCGCCACCATAAGGACAAAATTTACTCCACTGCCGCCTTCTTGGCAGTGACTGACTCCGCCTGTTTTTGGATCAACCTGGAGTTAGACGAAGAGGAGGGGCGTGTGCAGAGCTGAGACTTTAGTTTGCCTCAAAGAGGCCACGCCCTCAACTTTATTAATTTTAAGTCTTAATAAAGAACATGTGGAGTGATTTTACCTGAGTTAGTATTAAAAACAGAACAGGGACCTGGTCTTAAAGGTCTAAAACTCCACAAAGCTGAGACAGAACGGCTCCATCCTCAGGATGTTTTCTGTCCTGTGTCTTTGTGTTGATGTGTAATGATCACTGCAGCCTCTGGGGGGCGCCACCACCACTTCTCACTGTGAGTCTGATTTCTTTTATCTAATAACGTTCTGACTTCATCTGTTTAAATGGTCTCATTAATCTCATTATATCATTGATTTAAACTGACTCCACTGATGAAGCATAATGGAGTCAACCTCCAACCATTTACCAGCCCCACACACACACACACACACACACAGACACTCACACACACACTCACACTCACACTCACACTCACACTCGGAGGACTTTTATCCTGATTGTTATTGATCGTGCTGAAAGGCTGAGGCTCTGCAGAGTGTTTTTCTTCATGTGGATCTGATGATCCGGTCTGTGCAGGATCAGTGGTTTGAGGTGTTTTGTTGATGGATCTGTTTGTTTCCTGAAGGACAGATGTTCAGCATCTGGTTAAAGATGCTTCATGTGTACCAGGATGTCACTGATGATTAGGGATGGATCAATATGGTTCTGTCAGGGCTGATTCTGATACTGATTAGTAGTAATTAGCTTCTTGTTGGTTTTATTCTGTCTTGTGCTTTTTTAAACATGTTTCCTCAAACTGAAGCTGGACGAGACTAAACCTTTGTTCCTTTGACTCTGTTGGGATTTCTGCCAGAACTTAAACTAATGACACGAGTCTGTAAAGATGGAGACGCCTGTTTGGATCCGGCAGAGAGTTTGGACTCGTTTGATAAAGCAGGTGTGAGGCGCTGAGTCTCTCCTGCAGCAGTTCAGTGTGAGGGAATAAACCTGGAAGCTCAGGTTGTTGGTGGCGTCTTGTTTTTCAGGCTGTCGACCTTTTCGGGAAGCAGCTGCTGCGCTCCGACCTGCAGCACATGAATCTTTAATCAGACCAACAGTGAGACCTCCTGCTGGGACACACACACTCACACTCACACACACACTCACACATACACACACACACTCACACACACACACACTCACACTCACACACACACACACTCACACTCACACACACACACACTCACACTCACACACTCACACACTCACACACACTCACACTCACACACACACACACTCACACTCACACACTCACACACTCACACACACTCACACTCACACACACACACACTCACACTCACACACTCACACACTCACACACACTCACACTCACACACACACACACTCACACTCACACACTCACACACTCACACACACTCACACTCACACACACACACACTCACACTCACACACTCACACACTCACACACACTCACACTCACACACACACTCACACATACACACACACACACACACACACACACAGACACAGTAGTCAGTGTGCAGCAGTAGTTTAAACTAACATGGTGACAGACCAATGGTGTGAAAATATTCACTTAAAAAGTCAGTGTTACATTCTGACGGAGTGAACAGTTAGCCTAAACAAGCTAATGTTAGCCTAAAAAAGCTAATGTTAGCCTAAACAAGCTAATGTTAGCTTAAAAAAGCTAATGTTAGCCTAAACAAGCTAATGCTAGCCTAAAAAAGCTATCGTTATAAAGCAGGTGTCAGGTGTTGAGTCTCGAGGTCAAGGAAAGATGTGAAGGAGAATCTGGCTGCACTTAAATCAGGATTTTTTTTTAAACTAACTTTATTTATAACACATGGAGGATAAAGGATTATAGAGGTAGAGGAAGTTGGGCCATTAAAATAAACATGTATTATTGTGTGTTAACTATAAAGTCAATGTGCTTGTTCTTCATGATGACTCTGTGTTCATGGATCTGGATTTCCATCAGTTTTAGATCATGTCGTTTCTACAGTTATGTTGGTCTGCTGTGGTAAAACTACAATGGTGCATCAGCAAGGAATTGTGGGATGGCATTTTCTCCTTTCCTTTCACAAAGGAAGCTCCAGTGTTTCCTCTGCTGAAGGAGATGAGATAGGAAGCACTGAAGGCGGCTGCTGAGATTGGCAGCTTGAATGTGAGGCTGACAGATGAAATGTTGTGATGCCGTCGTGTCAACGTGGAGCAGAGTCTCAGGAAAGTTTCAACAGCTGGTGGATCCATGAAGTGAGTCTGTCTGAGAGCTGACCAATCAGCAGGCGTCTTCTGCAGGAGATTCAATGCAGCGACCAAAGTGAAACTGGTTTCTGCTTGTATTTGTGTCTCGCTCCCCCTCCTCCCTCCCTCTCTCTCTCCTCATGGTTATGGATGCTCTCTCTCTCATCACTAAAGACACCGCCTGCCGTCCTCGAGTGCCTCCTCATCGCCTCACTGTTTTCATACCTCATTTACTCTCTTTATCACTGCCACCTCCACCACACTGTTATAGGCTCCTGGTCCATCTATAGGTGCTGTTGTTCAAGATGAAAGAGGGGGAGGAGGGAGAATCCAATCACTGTGACCTTCAGCATCTCAGAAAATCGAGGAGAAAGCTGCAGCCATTACATTACATTACTACACACACACACACACACACACACACTCTCTCTCTCTCTAAGGCTATATTTATATCACAGCATGCCTCACTTCATCTGGATCATTTAAATCAGGAGATAATTAATACACAGGCTGTTCTCTCAGCTGCAGGCTCCAGCAGTGACACTTCAGTGGGGAACATACAGAACACAATAGACTGGATACATGAGTGTGGATTTAACAGTGTGTGTATATCAGTGTGTATATAATGATACCTTGGCCTGAAAATTCTGTGTTCTGATTGGTTGGAAGGTGTGAATTCTTAATAACCGGAGTGTGTATCCAGACGACTGTGATGTAGGTGTTTTTAGTTACAAGGATTGGTTTATAAAGACGGACAGACGTCTCCACTTCCTGCTGTGTCTCCACTTCCTGCCGCAGCTCCACTTCCTGCCGCGTCTCCACTTCCTGCCACGGCTCCACTTCCTGCCGCGGCTCCACTTCCTGCTGCTGTGCAAATATGAGGCCAAAATATCCCCGATACGAGCGCTGCCGTCTTGCACTGGTGACATCGTTTAGTCATTGGAGTCTGTGCTGTAGTGATCAGGGGGTGGAGCCGTGGTATCGAGGTCCCGCCCATACACCTGTTCAACCAAAGTGCGAGTCAATCACAGCCGTCAGTCATGTCATAATAGCATCAAATAATCAGCGACTGACAGAAACCATCTTTGATATTTCTAGTTTGGTTCATGTCCCATCCGCTAACATGGAGGGGGCGGGGTTTATGACCTGTACTGCAGCCAGGGGGCGGACGAGATGTTATGGCTTCACTGCGATGGCGTCCATCTCTATATACAGTCACTGGTGGGAGGGGTTAAGGTTATTTGAGTAACCACTAACAACAACTGAAAAAGGATAAATTACTTCTTGGTAAGAATCATAGAAATGTGATTTTATTATTATTATTATTATTATTATTATTATTATTATTTTAAATGGAAGTCCAAATCAACAGTCCAGACCTGACTTCTGCGTCTCTGCTCAAAGACTCGGGGTCCAACCAAACTAAAACTGGTGGTGTTGATCCGACCCCTCCCTTATAGCTAGATAACGATGAATTACTGAGCTCTGTGGAGGGACGGGACGAACCCGTTAGTTTGGGACAGATTCTGATCATTTTCTATGAATTTGAATTCTTTGCAGTGAACTCTGTGTTTGTTGTTTGACACTGACCCTGGTGGAGGTCTGTCCTCTCTGAATGCTCCTCCAGTTGAGACTAAAATTAGTCACGTGTAAATGAATGACTGATATTTTAAATGTGATCATGTGGTAAAAGCAGGATAAGACCTCCAGGTTTGATTCCATGACTACAGTGGAGTCAGCTTTGTGTCAGGTGGTTCTCAGCTCCTGTTTCATCCATTATAATAATGGAGTGTGCAGCTTATGTAAGGGTGTTACAGCTTATATATGAAGCTCGTTTATTTATAGAAATATAATCGTGTTCTGATTGGACAGTATCAGGTTGTTCTTAAAAATGTCTCCAGTTTGATGATTTTCCGCTCTGGAAATGGAGGCAGGTTTATTTGGACTTGTCACACACAGGTGCGTCTGATAACACTGGTAAACGCTGCATTTCATTTCAGGAATCATCAATCCATCGTTAATGTCATTAATTCGACTTCAGTTTTTCCTGCTGTGACAAGTCAAATGTTTTCTGTTGTGATGTCACAACAAAGCAGTCACCAAGCCCCGCCCACCTGGACCCACCCTCCAAACCTTGCAGGATTTGGTTTCTCTGAGTGTTTTTACCTGAAATCTGCTTTATTTTTATTGGGTCACTCAGCCAATCAGAACATTTCAAATAAAACCCAGAAGAAGAAGGAGAAACATGGAGCTTCACTTCTCTGTCTCACTGTGTTTCCTCAAACTGTTTTTCTCATGTTGAGAGATGACCACAGCTCTGTTTGGTTTCCTGTTGATGCTTCAAGTCTGATCACAATAAACTAATAAAAGTGTTTGAGGTTTGTTTCTAATAAAAATGTGACGATCTCACCTCGAACAGGAAGTGGAATGTGCCTTTAACACTCAGTCCTCTCTCTGCGTCCTCCCTCCAGTACTCGTCGGCCGGATGTCTGCTGACCCTCCACCACAGCGAGAAGCCCGACCATGAGGAGGTGTGCGAGTTCAGGCCGTACACCTGTCCGTGTCCCGGGGCCACCTGCAAGTGGCACGGCTCTCTGGAGGCTGTCATGCCGCACCTGATGCACGCGCACAAGTCCATCACCACGCTGCAGGTCGGCACCGACACCTACAGAAACCTCAAACAAGCTGACGACTCTAACGATGATAAATGTACCTGTTGTGCATTCAGCTCATTGTAACGACTTCTTCTGTCTGCAGGGGGAGGACATCGTCTTCCTGGCGACGGACATCAACCTGCCCGGCGCCGTGGACTGGGTGATGATGCAGTCGTGCTTCAGCCACCACTTCATGCTGGTCCTGGAGAAGCAGGAGAAATACGAGGGCCACCAGCAGTTCTTCGCCGTCGTGCTGCTCATCGGCACCCGCAAGCAGGCCGAGAACTTCGCCTACCGCCTGGAGCTCAACGGCAACCGCCGCCGGCTCACCTGGGAGGCCACGCCGCGCTCCATCCACGACGGGGTGGCGGCCGCCATCATGAACAGCGACTGCCTGGTGTTCGACACCTCCATCGCTCATCTGTTCGCTGACAACGGCAACCTGGGGATCAACGTCACCATCTCCATGTGCTGAGGGGGCGGAGCAACAGTTGTGATAAACAGACAGACGTCATGACGCAGGGTCAGTTTGACCGTTCAGGAGGTGTGGCGTTCACTTTCTGTCTCGCTCTGTGCTCACAGGAAGTCGTAAACGTCCTGCAGTGATGGTGATACAGCTGCTGTGCAGCTGGACTTGTTTGTAAAACATTTGCAGCAGGTTTAGCAGCAGAACGCCGGCTCCGCCCTGTTTGACGTGTGATGAATGACCGAACAGGAAGTGTCGAGCATCAGGTGTCCTTCTTGAACTGATGAAGACGAGGTCAGACCTGCTGCTGCGACCGCCGCCCGTCCAGACCGGGACCCGGGGCCCCGGGGCCCCGGGCCAGAGTCCACTCCCCCGAGCAGAGAGGATTCTGGTCTCACTGGAGGAAACAAACAAAACCTTCACCACAGCAGCCACACAACTTCCTGTCGGGTTCATCCGACTTCCTGTCGACGTGTTCACAGTATTCTGCTCTTTGCTGCTGTCATTGGCTGACAGGTGTTTTCAGTCAGAGTCTTTGTCTTCGACTGCAGCTTCACTTTTTACAAAGATATGAAAACATGAAGACACGTTTGATTGACAGGTTTCTCAGCCTGTAACAGGGGTCACTGTAGGTCATTTGCTTTGATGACATATGTATAATTCCCATCTCAACATTAATGTTTATTGGGACGATAAAAAAAAAAAACTGCTGATGAATGTTAAAATCATCAGACAGTAAATTAAATACCTGACATTCACCACTTCACACAACTGTCTAATACAGAGATACAGATGTTGAACAGCTGACTGGGTTATAGTCTTATGAGATATATTAGGACCTCAGCTAATGATTATTGTTCTTATTGATTAATCAGCTGCATATTTTCTCGATTAGTTTATAAAATGTGTTTCGTAGATTCAGTTCACGAAGAGATGAAACAGAGAAAAGCAGAAAATGGCAAAATCATAACGAACTGATGATCAGAAAGTTGCAGATAATTTTTCTGATGATTGATTAATTGACTCGTTATTGCAGGTGTGATGATGATCATGTATCAGACAAACAGAGCAGCTGCTGGCACCAGGTCTTCTTCTTCATGTTGACAATCATGGTCAATCAGATCAATAAACTTTAATCTTTACTCACATCCAGCTGAACCCAGAGTCGGGAAAAGTGAACGACACATCAGTCACTCAAGTTTCAGACATTATTGATCAGAGCTGCAACGATTAGTTGACAAATGGATGAATTGATCGACAGGAAATTAATCGTTTCGCTCATTTTTCAAGAAAAAATGTTTAAAAATTCTGTTTTCAGATTTTAAATGTGATAATTTTCTGCTTTTCTTTCTTTTCTGACATTGAATTAAAAATCTCTGAATGTCGTCATTTCCTTATTTTTTAACTTGATACAGACGAAATGATGAATCGACTCTATATGAAATAATCAGATTAATTGAGTCGCAGCTGAACCGTAGCACGTTCCCACCGATGCAGTTAACAGTGTTGACCAATGTGCTCTGTCACCTGTCAATCAATAATCAATAATAACCAGCAGACAAAGAGAGAGGCTGTTGAAGCAGAATAATGTGAACACGTTCACTCTGTGCTTTAATGACCGGAGCTGTGGCCTGTGTCTCAGGTCGCTGGTTCAAATCCCGCGGGCGGCCACGGTGGCGTTCTGACCGCGGACTCGTCCCTCACGGTTTGGAGGTTTGGCGTCGGACCTCTGTGGGATCCAGTCAATCCTCAGACCTTCTTTTAATCTCAGATAAAAGCAGTGAAATGGAGGAATAATCCTCCGCCCCTCCTCCTGCAGTCTGCCGAGCCGCCAGCGCCTTACTTTTCTACCGCCGTCCTCCTCATGATCGTGCTCTTTCTGAGGGAGTCTTGGTGCTGATGAGCTTCAGTTGAACATTGTTTTTAGTTTTCTTACTGAAAACCTGCCCAGGGAAACGACGAGACTGACGGAAGAGAAATGTGTAAAAACAGTTTGCTGCTTGTTCAAAGCCACAGAGACGGTGGACGGACGGACTATTGTAGGTAAAGAAACTTGATCGTCTCTGAACCTTCGTAGCAACTGGAAAGAAGTTGGCGTCAGCAGATACCTCTGATCACGACTCACGTGACTGAACCGCAGATTCCTCAGACCTCAGCGCCGTTTCCTCTGTGTTCGCTCAGAGACGAAAACCAGTCGTTCATTCACACTACTCCATGTAGGTGTGACTCGTCCTGAATCATATCTGCAGCATCAGCAACAATTCCTCCATTTAACCTAAAACAGCTGCAGAGCCTCCGTCAGTGGCAGAACGTTAAAGCTCCTCCAGTGTAAAGGTCTGTGTCCATGTGTAGTGTGATTATAGATCAGCTCTAGCTTCTATATTAATACTGTGAAAGTATCAAAGCCTCAGTCCACAGAGAAATGCACACAGCCTGTATTCAGAAACTGAGCCTTAAAACCAGCCGTCAGGACTTCTGGAACTTTGTGATGTCACAACAAAGCAGTCACCAAGCCCCGCCCACCTGGACCCACTCACAAGTGTTGATCCATAAGAAGATATATTTGTGGTTTTAAGACCCCAAAACCATCTCAGTGTAGTTTTACATCTCCTCTCTCAGGCTTCTCTCTGGAGCTCTAGTAACAACAGGTCTGTGAGCCAATCAGAAGAGAGGAGGCTCTGAGCCTCTCTTCTGATTGGCTGACTGTTTTCTGGGTGATCCAATAAAAATATAGCAGATTTCAGGTAAAAACACTCAGAGAAACCAAATCCTGCAAGGTTTGGATGGTGGGACCAGGTGGGCGGGGCTTGGTGACTGCTTCGTTGTGACATCACAAAGTTCCAGAAGTCCTGACGGCTGGTTTTAAGGCTCATGGACAGAAACCTTTAGACGGGATGGAGCTTTAAAACATAAATACATCTTACAGATATCAACACTTTATTATCAAGTATCTCAGTTAAGAAGCAACACAACTTTATTAAAAATGTAATATTTGATTAATATAAACACTTTAAGTCTTTAAGTTCAACATTTACAACCAGTATATAAATATTTAGTAAATGGTTTATTGCAGCAGATATAAAACATTTTAACAATTTATTAATATTATATGAATAAATATCCCAGCTGTTTTGTTATATTGTATTTAATTAGCAGCCTCCACTTTAATAAAAACCCAGATCTGGTTATAACCACTTCATATTGTTATAAACATTTATTAAATGTGTATATACTAATTATAACCGTTAAACTGTGTTAGCAGATCTTTAATGTTAATGTAAACTGTGAGATGTTAGTGACCAGACAATCATTAATATTCTGTTGCTTTTCAAACCTTAATGTTACATTTATTATTTAATATTAATTCAGACAAAAGGCTTCATGGTCCTAAAGCCCTCGGGTTCATTCATCCCGTCGTGCGAACAGAAACACAGAGGAAACGCTGCTCTCTCTCTCTTTACCTGATGATCACTTCCACTTCACAGCCGCCACTTTCTACCAAATGTTTTTATTGTAAATGAAGCTCTCGCGGCAGCAGTATATTTTCTCAGACAGGAGACAGCTGGATTTATTCTGACATGTATTTGTGTTAGCGTTTGCAGCTGTACAGAGATTTTCAAGGTAATTTTCTAAACTGACTGTTGTTAATTCGTTGTTGTTGTTCTGCTGCTTCAGTCTGAGTCCAACAAACAACCCACAACATCTGACAACCAGGGACTGACATCACAAACTACTGTAGCCTACGACTCCCAGGGTGCATTTCAGTAAGAAACATCCGATTACAGAGCTTCACATTCTGCTACATGAGCCGATGATGACGAGCTGAGGGTAAAAATGACACTTTGTAGAAACCTGATGAAGATCCGGCAGTTTGGGATTCATTTATTAATTCATATCCCCATAGCAACAGCAGCTGAGGCTCATGGGTATTGAAGTATTTAGAGCCATCAATCAAACTGACAGAAAAAAAAGTAATTACCCAGGTAAAATCTGGCTTCACCTGTCAGGGAGGAGAAGAGGCAAAGATACTGTGCGAGGTGACGTGGACAGGTGTATACAGGTGTTCCTGAGAACTTCCCTGAGAATCATGAGGTTTTGAAGTTTCTTTGAGTACCACAGTTATTCAGTCAGTTGTCTGTACATCTGTGGGTAAACTGCAAACTGCAAAGGTTAATAGTTAATTCGGCACATTTAATTTTTAACGTAAACAAATACAAGTTTGTAATTTCTGAATCATTCTGTTTCCTTGGATCTGTCCTGGTGTTTATAAATGTCATCGTTAAAGGTCTTGTATATTTTGTATTGCCAACCAGTAACCAGCACCATTATTGTTATTATCATATTCTAGAATAAATTATCAGTAAAATAGAGATAGACAATGAAATTTAATGCAATTCAAATAAATTGCATTAAATTTATTACAAAATTACACAGATCTTAAACGTCTTAGAGCTGATTCAGAAACTACAGACGTTTAAAATGAAGTGTTACCACATCATATGTTTTCAGAACTGGGGAGTCGGCTTTAAGAATGAATTTTTCCTTATTAATTAAGATAATAATCAGCTCTCAGTGGAGTTCGTGTCACATGACCAGGTTCTTTCTGTCACAGCAGCAGGATGATAAAAATTAAATCTACTGAAACAAGAAACTGAAGAGCGACCGGATCTCACGGCTGATGTTGGGATGTTCTGAATCTTCATTCTCAGTGTAACGTTGTTCTGTGATGTTTCTTTAATAAACGGGTGCAGCTTGTTCCTCTCTGGTTCTGATCTTTATATCGTCTTGTTCTATTTTTACAGTCAGTGGTTCTAGTTTATATTTAGACTAACAGGGATTTTGAGACAAAAAAAGTAAAGGGTAAAGAGGAGGGGCTTGACACTCGGAGGCCACGCCCCCAAGTCTCTGTAACTGTAGTCCTTAATAAAATGTAATTTTAAAATATCAGAGATGAATCTGATTTTAAATCCATGTTGATTCCACTGGTGAAGATATTTCTGTTTTATTACAAAATGAAATCAACAACAAACATTTCACTTCACACAGGAGCATGTTGGACACGTCCTCCTGAAGACGACGTCCAGAGACATTTTACACTGAACTCAAGGAACCTAAGAAATCTCTCTTCTTCTGTGGTCTCCGTCTGTCTATCTTCTTCTATTGCTGTCTCTATCCCTGTCCATCTCTCTCCTTCTGTCGTCTCTGTCCCGGTCCGTCTCTCTTCTTCTATCGTTGTCTCTGTCCATCTCTCTTCTTCTGTCTGTCTCTCTTCTTCTTTCGCTGTCTCTGTCCCAATCCGTCTCTCTTCTTCTATCATCATCTCTGTCTGTCTCTCGTCTTCTGTCTCTGTCCATCTCTCTTCTTCTATCGCTGTCTCTGTCCCGATCTGTCTCTCTTCTCCTGTCTCCCTCTCTGTCCCTCTCACGATTCCTCCTCCTGTCTTCATCCCTCCTTCCCTCCTCCTCCGCCCAGAGTCTCTCGTTCTCCCTCGCTCTCTGCCCGTTCTCATGTCCTCCCGGCGGCGCCCCCCTCTGGTTGTACTTGTCGTAGGCAGCGTCCTCCTTCTCCTCTTTGACTCTGACGGCAGCGGGAGGAGGACGATGAAGAGGAGGGGGAGGCGAGGAAGAGGAGGTCGCCCGGCTCTTCTTCTCTTTCTCCTTCTCTGCCTTCTTCTTCTCCTTCTTTTCCTTCTTCTTTTTCTTCTTCTCTTTCTTATCTGAGGCAGAAACGCAGGACGAATAAAAACTCAAATCCTGCCTCAAGTGGATCAAAGACAACAGGAAGTGACCTCACCTTTCTTGGGCTTCTTCACAGGTATGCTGTACTGCTCATCTTCCTCTGAGGAAGAGGAGGAGGACTCGGGGGCTGCGGGAGCGCAGCCCTCCTCCCTCAGGTGTTTGGTCACGTCGTCGATGTCCTCGTGGTCTTTGGGAGGACGGTAGTCTTTGACGTGGTCCACGCGAATGGTCCGACCTTTAATCTGACGACAGGAAGACAGATTTTTATTAAGGTTAGCTTAGCTTAGCATAAAGACTGGAAACAAACGGAAACAGTTAGCCTGGCTCTGCTCAAACTCATCTCATTTGTTTTATCTGCACAAAAACAGGAAGTGTATGTTTCAGGGGAATTATTTGTTGGCGAACTTGTTTCATAACAGCGAATAAATCTGCTTCAAATAGAGAGCGGGAAACACGTGAGGCAGCAGGTGTGACGCTGAATCTATCAGCTGATAATCAGACAGCAGGAGGTGACGCTGTTTGAAATGTTGAGACGATGCAGAAACGTTTCCTTTTGGATTCAGCCGCAACAAACCAGAGTTATTAACAGCTAGTTCATGTTTGTAACGTGTGTGTGTGTGTGTGTGTGTGTGTGTTGATCCTCCTCTTCTTCTTCTGCAGCCTCAGACCTGAGGAGGAGGAAGCAGGAGAAACAGCTACAGGTGTGAACACTGACACTGCATAGTGTTATGAAGGCGAAGGATAGGAGGCAGGTAGGTTGTACGTGAGCTAGAGGCGCTTAAAGTAACGGCTGCGTCACCTTGATGCCGTTGAAGTTGTCCACAGCCAGGATGGTGCTCCTCTGGTCCTCGTAGCAGATGAAGCAGAAACCTTTGGACTTCCCCGTCGCCTTGTCGCGCACCAGGTTGATGTTGACGACCTCTCCGTACCTGACAGGTGAGAGTAAATTCTCACATAGTCTCATGATGGTTATTACAGTGAGAGAGAGGATGAGACAAAGTGTGAAGGTACGTACTGAGAGAAGACACAGATGATGTCGCCTTCAGTCAGCTCGTATGGAAATCCTCCTGCAGGAAACAGAAAACTACGTCATCCACATGTCGTGAGATAAACCGTCTTCACAGGAGGGTCCAACTCACCCACAAAGATCCAGGCGCTGTCTTTGTACACAGTGTGCCAGGAAACAGACTCGTTCACCCCGAGGTGGGCCTCCCGCTCGTTCAGCTCGTTGATCAGCTTCACCTTCGTTAGCGGACTGAAAACAGAGGACAGAGAAAACATTGAACTGTGTTTTATCCAGAGTATTTACACCCTCACGAGCTGAGGGCCAACACAACAACTATATACTTATGTGAGAGCAGTATATTTACTTTTATCAATCAATCAAGACTTTATTTGTACAGCATTTTTTCATACAAACAAGCATGTATTAAAGTGAGTAAAACCAGAAATAAAAGGCAGGATATTAAAAAATAAAAATAAAAATGACATAAAATAGTAACAGTAAAATGCGAAATGAGAAAACATACATTATTCTGATCGTATACATGGAGAAACCGTCACACCAGACTCCACCATGACCAACTAAAACATTTAGTACAACCTGAGGATTCATTATTAAATTGGGCAAAACAACGGACTTCAAATAAATAAAAGCAAAACAATCCACTTTTGCCAAAACCCTCAGTAGCGCGCAATTGCACAAGGGCTCAAACACTTTACAAAACTTTTATATTATTGATATACGAATTGCTTGGTGTGTGCCGAACTCGAAAACGGATACTAAAGGTTTAAAATAACATTAGCCGTTATGTTTCAGAAGTGTGTGAACTCGCCGAGTGACGGAGAATCATTAAATTGTGAGATTTTAGAACAGGGTTCGGTGCATCGAGAATGAGTGACGGTGGCTAGGTTAACTGTGCTTATCAACAATGTTTGATAGCCCACTAGCACCAGCTAGCAGGTTAGCGTACAGCAGAGGACAGAACCAGCGACAGAATGAATAAAGTCCGAACAGTAAATAGAAAACCAAACAATCATTTTACTGTAAGAATGTTCACTTACTTCATGGTGAACTACATACAAGAGGTACCGATGCTAATGTGCTAATGTGGAAACCGTCTACTTTGCTAACATGAGCCATTTCCGTATGAATTACTGCCTCTGCTGCCGCCTGCTGTTCGGATGTCTTAACTACAAGCTAAATAAGACTAAATACCTAAACAACTACTGTTCAAATTATATATAAAATTGTACTTAATCAAAAATACAGTATAATTATCCAAAAGTATATACATATATTTACATATTTAAATTTTGCTTCATTAACTATATGTAACTTCACCGCCCGGACATCAGGTGGCGCTGTGCTGGTAACCGCCACCTGCGACCCGGTTTGTAAACACCGGTCTGTCAGTTGAGAGCCAGGCAGCTTGCCGAAATAACACACGATTATCTTGTGTTTCAGTTGATATTTTAATAGTTCAGTTAACTATTTTATCTATACAACTTTCTCCGCGTTGACCAGTTTATCACGGACATCCCTCATGTTAATTTTTAGAGGTTTAAATACGCTGCGATAGCTAACTTTAGCCAGGCTACCGTTAGCAGCAGGCTAAATGACTTTCACTGCCATTTATGGATTATAAGATAACATTTAAACTGATTTACCACTGTTTTACTGCAGGCCTACTGCGGGTAAGTAATGCAGTTACTGAAGCATAAAGCTATTCAAGTAAGTGCCACATGCTCACAGTTAAAATCCAAACTCGTTTACAACTGTAGTCCATTTAAGATACTTCAACCATAGATGCATGTTAAAACATTATTAAGAATATATCTGACTCTTATGGAACTTAGATAAATCAGACTTTACTACTGATAATTGGCTTTCTAAAAACCTACTTTTATTCCTTGGCTTTTGATCCAGCATGAGACGGCATTTGTTTGATTGCTTTTACTGTTTTTTTATTTGCTATTTTATCGTTGTTTTTTTTATGTTTTTTATGTTTTTATTTTATTACAGTATGTACAGCACTTTGTATCAGCTTTGGCTGTATTTAAAGTGCTCTATAAATAAAGTTGAGTTGAGTTTAATTAAATGTAATTTCTGGACTTGTTGGTTCACTTTCCACTCTCTGTCCTCATCTCCTGTGGAACATTTTAGTGATGACTGGGGTGTCAATAAAAAGCAAACTGAGTAGTGTAGTACATGTATTTAAAATGTTCCTGTGTTTCATGAGGATGTTGAAAAAGACTGAGGTCATCATTACACTAAGCAGTTTTGTTTACGCAGTAGCTCGCCTAAAATTGGCAGAATATTGAGTGGAGTTTGGTGGCAGCTTTTCTCCAAAAGAGAAAATGTTGGCTGGTTTTAGCTGCCTGCTGGTCACACATAGTGAAGCAGCACATGGAAGATAATTTAAAATAAAGTAAATGAAATGGAACATACAGGACTTTATCAACTGTCACCAGCAGGGGGAGCACCTGTATCATAGTTATTTCTCAGCCGGCTGGATTGAAGAGCAAAAACTAAAAAAACCTGGTGTTTAAAAACTAGAAAATAAAAAGATCTTGAGTTACAGTTGGTAAATTTCTGTCTCTGTCCCTCAATCCTGTCTCTTCTCTGTATGTCTCCAGCAGGATGATCTCTCAGGTCTTCATCTTGTCCTCGAAGGGCGACCACCTCATCTATAAAGACTGTATCCTCACCTTCTTGTCCCAAAGCTAAAAACACCTGAGGCCAAACACAAACACTTGCATTTGTTTCCATCCCCTGATCAGTACTTTTCTAATGCAGCCGTGAGGTTAAAGCCTGTTAATCAATCACCTGAGCAAATTTAATATGTTGTTTGTTATTGAAGGGAAAGAAGTAAATTCAACTCCTGCAACTTCAACAGATGTTTAAAATGAGCCTTTTTTCAGATGTTACTTTTTATTTCATCAAATGGAAAATTATGTTTTATTCACTTGTTTTCTTTTTAAAAATATAAATATAATTTTCCCAGAGGGGATGAGACTTTGTCACGCAGCTGAATGGGAAGTTACAGCAGTGCACAGTGAACAGCTGGTCCCATTATCACGCTGACAAACAGACGGGGAAACTCCATTTACATCTCTGTTTAGATGACGTTTGTTTATGCAGCCGTGATGCTGAAAACAGATTAATTACTAATGAAGCAGCCTGTGTTTCTTAACCTGACCACAAGTCCGCGGAGAGGCAGGAAGTGATGTTGTCAACATTTTCTACGAGAAGGTCACGGCGCTGACGGGAGACCAGCCTCCGGTTGTCATGGTAACGATGTGTGTCAGTGTGTGTTAAGATGTTGTCAATCAATCAGACTTTATTTTTACAGCAGCTTTTGAAATAGATCGTGTGTGTTCGATCTTGTGACGCAGATGGAGATTTATTTCTGTGTTCTCTTTTCTGCAGAGTCACAAAGACCTTCACTTCGTCCACGTCAGACAGGGAGGACTCTACTGGGTCGCCACGACAACGGCTGACTCCTCTCCCTTCACCGTCATCGAGTTCCTCAACAGGTGTGTGTCTACAGAAATAATCATTACACCTTCACACCATCGTACACACTCAGTCCTCACAGGTTAACACAACTCGCTCTTTAATTTTACAAACATTGGTCTGACGGTTAACGAGCAGCGGCGCTTACATCATGACTTCACCACGTCCATGAAACAAAGAGGCGACACGAGATCACAAACACCAGCAAAGATCATGTTTCATGTTTGATCGACTGAAGAAGTTTTTCTTTTCACATACACTGGTTTGAACTGTTTACACTCATTCAAGGATTTGCTGTGAACCGGGAGGAACGAGGTCATCTGTTGAGACGTGTGTGTGTGTGTGTGTGTGTGTGTGTGTGTGTGTGTGTGTGTGCAGGTTAACAGCTCTGGTTAAAGATTACTGTGGCAGCCTGTCAGAGAGGTCGGTGCAGATGAACTTTGCCCTCATCTACGAGCTGCTGGATGAGGTTGTGGTGAGTCCCCCACCCCCCCACCCCCCTCCCCAGCTGCTCAGGGTGGGCTCAGTTGTTTTGATAAATGAGACTCTGGTAAAATTCAAAAACCAAAAATCACATTTAAACAAACGTGGCACCAGAAAGTTTCAGGGCTGCGCTCGGAAAGTCTTTTGTTCTTCTGAAGGTTCAAACGAGTGAGATGATCCTTAGTCTCTCTCTCTCTCTCTCTCTCTCTCACTCTCTCTCTCTCTCTCTCTCTCTCTCTCTCTCTCTCTCCACCTTCACTCTCTCTCTCTCACTCTCTCTCTCTCACTCTCTCCCTCTCTCTCTCTCACTCTCTCTCGCTCTCTCTCTCTGTCTCTCTCACTCTCTCTCTCTCGCTCTCTCTCTCGCTCTCTCTCTCGCTCTCTCTCTCTCTGTCTCTCTCTCGCTCTCTCTCTCTCGCTCTCTCGCTCTCTCTCTCGCTCTCTCTCTCGCTCTCTCTCTCTCAGGACTATGGTTACATCCAGACGACGTCCTCTGACGTCCTGAAGAACTTCATCCAGACTGAGGCCGTCTCCTCCAGACCCTTCAGCCTGTTTGACCTCAGCAACGTCGGCTTGGTGCGTTCACACCTGTGACACCTGATGAGAGGTCAGAGGTCACAGGTTTGATCGGCTGAACTGGGAAAGTGCTTGAGTTCAACACTGCAAATCAAACCTTTGACCAAACATGTTGTTTCTGTCTTTACAAGAAGAAAAACATTTAATTCTTATAAACGTTTCATTCTGTAACACTTTAAGTCCCTTTATTCAACATTTACAGTCAGAATATTTATATGGTTTATAATATGTTTTATATATGAGTTAAGTAATATTATAATGTAATATATAATATTACATTATAATATTACATATATTACAGGAGAAATTAGTACAAACAATGATTATTGTTCATTTATTATTAACTGTTATTATCAACGATCTATCTATTTAAATTTTTACAATATTTAAAAAATCCTTATGTGTGAACAACATTATACTTTTATACTGATATAAATTAATTTAATTTAATTTATTTATTTATTTACTTAAATGTATTTACTGTTATTTACTGATACATGTAGAAAACAATGTAAACCCCTCAGTGGATTTATCTGAATGTGTTTAATGGAGGTTTTCACCCTGATGCTGTTTCTGTTGCAGTTCGGAGCAGAGACTCAGCAGAGTAAAGTGGCTCCCAGCTCTGCAGCCACCAGACCCATCCAGTCCAGCAGAGAGCAGGTAAACCACATCCCATCAGTGTCCCGAGGAAGCCGAACACGACGACACACTAACGACACACTAACGACACACTAACGACACACTAACGACACACTAACGACAGAGACGCTGATCTTCTCTCTCTCAGTTCATTTTTAAAATAAAAGTGGGAGGAAAGTCCTGAAACCTGCAGCATCGTTACTCCGTCTGAGTTCTGTTCGTTCACATGAAACAAACTGTGATCATGAGGGACAGACCTCACACTTTCTGTGTGTGTGTGTGTGTGTGTGTGTGTGTGTGTGTGTGTGTGTGTGTGTGTGTGTGTGTGTGTGTGTGTGTGTGTGTGTGTGTGTGTGTGTGTGTGAGTGTTTTTCCAGGGAGGAAAGAGTGAGATATTTGTGGACGTGATTGAGAGGATGTCGGTCGTCATCGGCTCCAACGTGAGTGACATCAGTCACTGTCTGAGAGACTGAAGTGATTTCTTACAGGTTTTGAATCTGATTATGTCACTGATGTTCACAGGTAAACAGGTAAACTGGTAAACTGGTAAACAGGTAAACTGGTCTGATGATTAAACTCTGTCTGTGCTGCAGGGAGTTCTGATGAAGGCCGACGTGGAGGGAGAGATCAGAGTCAAGTGCTACATGCCCACCTGCTCAGGTGAGTTTTAGAAACAGAGGTCAACCCTGTATTATTATTGTAATAATAACAACAATTATAAAAATAATTATTGTTGTTATCAGGGCGAAAGTGTTGGAGTGTGTCATTACCTGTTAGTTCACGTCTCTGACTCCAGGTCTCTCACATGTTCTCACTCACCAGAGATGAGGATCGGTCTGAATGAGGAGTTCAGCATCGGAAAGTCACAGCTCAGAGGTGAAACACACACACACACACACACACACACACACACACACACACACACACACATAACTGCTCATTAAGCTGTTGTTTAAACTGATCACATCTGATCCTTCCTCCGTCACATGAGGTAAGAGGCGAGAAAGGAGGCGGTTTAATGAAGAGCTCAGCCAATTAACTGCCCGGTCTGTTTAATCCTCTGATGTATGTTCTCACAGATACAGCCCTGTGGAAAAGTTCGGATGCTTTCAAAGACAATAGCATTCTTATTTTTTTAAATATCAGTTATTGTTTCATGACAGCAGCTGCCTGTTGGTTTAAGATCCTGCTCCTCACCTGATCTGAGATCTGATCCTCTGTCGTCCCGCTGCAGTCTGAGCTTCACCAACACATCTTCCTTTTACACTTTGTTCTCACCTCCTTCTCAGAGACGTGATCCACGTCTGTTTACTCCATGCTGCATTAATGCACATGAAGAACGCAGAGCGCTGCTTCCTGTAAACACTCCGACCGGCCGCTTGTGTCATAGTCACGTCTGCCTTTAAAGAAAAACACGATCTGACATTTTTCCTGCTCAGTTCAAATCTGGGTCACGATTATTTAACAGCCACGTTTTCCACATGTTTCTGTATTAGTATTTAAAGTGACCTGCTCTGTGCTTCCACTGCTGGAACATGAAGATCTGAAGAGAGCGAGAGACGGAAAATCACATGCGGTTACATTCAAATTCAAGCATTCATTTTCTTCACGTCTGTCCTGTTTGACGTCGTTTGTCACCAAAATTATTTAAAAAACGTAATTTTCCAGATTAAGTTTTGATTAGATCTGAGGATGGAGCTTTGATTGAAAACTTTCTGAAAGATAGAAACAAAGAGGAAACTGTTCCCTCGGTCTCTGCATGAAATCAAAGCGAGAACGTCGCAGTCTGCGGTCGGCACCTAAACCCTGAGACCAGCGGGACTCCCCCAGTGTTTCATTCACTAAAAAGTCACTCTAATTTAAAGTTTTATCCAGAATTATTAAAAAAAAGAGTAAAATCAGAGTTAGAAAAGTGTGAGAAATGCTGATTTGTGTGGTCAGGTTGTGTTGACTCTGTCCAGCTGGTCACATGGTTCCTGTCCTCTGCTGCGTAAACACAGATCAACATTAATCCTGTTGAGTTTATTAAAAGCAGGTGGACTTCATTTCCTCCAGCGTTTCATTTCCTGCGCTTGTTTTTCAGTTTTCTGTGACAGTTTAGTCTCTTCACTGACAAACTGTCGCCTTCATCTTTATTCTGGTCTTTATTTGTTTCTTTATCAAGTTGTTTCAGGTTGAAGTGAAACGTCTCATTACACTTGACCTTCTGCACACGCTCTGTTCATGAACATGTTGGATAATGGCTGCTGGTTTTATTACCTTTACAACATTATTTTTAAATGTTGAACAGCTCTGATTCTTATACAACTGTCACCTTAATTTTCCCAGCATGCATTGTTCCTGGGTTTGTTGTGGAGTTGAACAGGGTTTCCATTTCACCAAACAAACCCTGAAACCGTTTGGAACGGGTTCAGGATGAGTCCGTGCAGGACGAGGCCTCACTTTGTGTCAGCTGGCGGACTCGGTCTCTGATCGCGGTTTCTGATCAGCTGTGGTTTTGTGTTGCCAGGTTACGGGGCTGCCGTTCGAGTGGACGAGTGCAGCTTCCACCAGGCGGTCCGACTGGACGAGTTCGACAGCCTCCGGATCCTCAGGCTGTGTCCGAGCCAGGGAGAGGTGACCTCACTCCCTCGCTCTGTTTGTTTGCTTCTGTTTTTACCTCTCTCTGAAACAACAAGAACAAACTTCACGGCCGTCATGAAAGTGGATGTGTTGTTGGGAACCCGCCTGTTGTCCTGCAGTGGAGCTTAAATCTCACTGATTCCTGCCTTAAAGGAGAATATCGCACGTTTTAAAATGACTCGCACAAATAAACATGATCCATCAGCTTCAGGTTGATTTCCATTTGTCTCATTTCCTTTGAGTGAAGACGGACAGTTTGTTTCACCACCTGAACCCTGAAGCTACATTTCTTTAACCACACTGCTGCGGATGTAAACACCTTGTTTTATTTGTCAGCACCTGCTCAAACTGACTCGGTGCTCTCTCTTCTTCTCTCTCCTCCTCTGTCCTCGTTTCCTCCTCTTGCAGCAAACAGTGATGCAGTACCAGCTGAGTGACGATCTGCCTTCAGCTCCTCCTTTCCGTCTCTTCCCGACCATCGAGAGAGACAACGGCGGCAGGTAAAGACCTCCAACGCACCCACCCGGAAAGACAGCCTCTCTGTTTCCACGCAGTCGTTCTTCAGCAGAAAGAAAAACTGTGTTTTAAAAGTAAAACAGTGAAGGTGAAGTTTTGTCGTGAGCTCCTGTGAACACACCGTCTGTAACTTCTGCCTCTCAATCAAAACAATAACAAAAGACGCCGTTTGGTGACGTCGTGATGTAGCGTGGGATCATGGGAGTTGTTGTCTTCACCAATATTGTTGTCAGCTCTTCCTGGTTTGGATTCCTTCAGTGTCAGTGGGTCAGAGGTGTCGTCCTCCAACCAAGGTGTAAAAGGTGTTTCTTATAAATACGACTTAACCCGTTAAGACCTGAGTCTCCTTCTGCTCTGTTTGAAACAACCTGAGGGTTTTCTGAAAAACTTCATTCACTGAAACCTTCATTTCTCAGCCTCTGGATCATGAACATGAAATAAAAACCATCTGATTGTAAATTGTACATGGCTGGAAAAACAAGCACATTTGTCAGTTCAGTTAAATTCTTTGATTTACAGTAAAAGCCAAAGGTTTATTCTCTCAGATGGTTTTTATTTCTCCATCTGCGTCAGAGACTGAGACATGAAGGTTTTAGTGACAGCGTTGCATCAGGTGAATCTTTACCTGAAGCTAGCTCCTCCTCCTCTGACACATCTCAGTCTTGACTAAGTGGTTAGCAGGTTAGCAGGTTTAAGTCAGTGTCTGAATCTTCTAAGTTGTAGTTTTTATCCAGCTGTAATCTGCTTCAACACCGTCTGAACCGTGACTTTAAAAACTTTCTTCAGGCTAAAAACCACTGGAAAAACAACAGAAACACATTTCCCATGATGCATTGCAACTTCCTGACGCAAATTTCAGTGAATCACAACACAATTCCGTGGTCACACATCTTAAAAACAACAAAACCATAAACCACACTTGTCCGTCTCATCCAGTTTTATTGGGACAAAACAGTAAAAAGTCCATTTTGACACATGATGTCATCAACAGGCGACCAATGAAAAGCTCCCACGATTAAAATCACAGATTTCTCTGGTTGTTTTTTGACGTTTTAATGAGGAGAAGTTTCAGATTTAAAACGTTTATTACAACTTACAACATCTGGAGCTGTAATACTCAGCCTGTGGATCAAATCCGTTTTCTTTGCAACGTGTCAAAACATTTTGCATCCACATTTCCACAGATCTACTGTCGGTAACAACTGGAAACACAAGGCTTGTGTGAATCTCAATAAACTTGAAGCTGTTATATAAATATAATCATTGATTTGCATCTGAAACACAAATAGACACGAGGTGCTGATAAAAACATGGTCCAACAACAGGTCACTGTTTACTGAGGCACATAACTTCTTCAGCCACAGGAGCTGATGTCATTCTGTCAGCGCTCACAAGCTAATGAACCCTAAAACAACAAGTTTATAAACCTGTTTGGTGCAAATCTAAAGAAATCACTTGAAGTAAAATGAAACTGGTTGTTTTCCTTTGAGGAAAGAAATCAGATTTTCACAAATTAAACTGTGTCCGTGGATTAAAAGTGACTCAATGAGGCGACACTGAGGCCTAGAAGCTAAAGCAGGACAGACACAGAGTCGTTTTGAAGCTCAGAGTGAGCTGCTCGTTGTTGCTGTCATGGCGGTGTCTGACTCCGCCCCCAACTACCAGCTAGTTCAAAAATAGACAAAGAAGAGGGGCGTGTGTGGAGTAGTCAATAACTGTGGCAAGCATTGGCAATGTGGTTCCCATTAGCATCATTAGCACAGCTGGATGTCTGGGCGCCTTGCGCAAAGGCTAACTCAAGGCTAATTCAAATGCTGGCTATTTAGCCAGTCAATGAGCTAAGCTAACAAGCCAGGTATGGAGAGCTCAGACACCAATACCTGCTAACGAGAGCTAACGTAAATAAAATGACACTAGAATCTCACTCACCTTTAAAAATAGGAGCACGGACTTCCTCACGTTCTGTTCGTCAGTTAAACAACAACAAGGCGAATTATCTGTCTGAGGAAATTAGCTCTAGAGACCAAAACAGTTTTTGTACCAGGCTGTAAACATGTTGATCTCTGCTGTAAAGTTGGACATTTTAACATGGGAGTCTATGGGGACTGACTCACTGTTGGAGCCAGACTCTAGTGGTCGTTAGAGGAACTGCAGCTGCTGGTTCTTCATGTTTTAAAGCTCGGTCACAACTCTGGATTTCTAGCTGGTCTTGTTTCAGTTCAGGTTCCCTGACGCCTGCTGTGTGAACATCCATTACAACCTGTAGTGAGTTTGTTTTAATATTCCTGCAGAGGTATTTTACATGCTGCTGCTGCTGCTAAAGCTACTGGCCGCAGAACAAACAGCGTGTTGTCTGCAGCTTCTTACTCTCCAGCCACAGCAGATTTGCACTCGCTGCCTCTCAGTGTTTTCGTCAACACTGTTGACAAAACAGTGTCTGCACAGCTTTAGAAATGTCCCATATAAACCTCTGTGTCCTCTGTCTGAACCTCTGAAGCGTGTCATCCGCCTGTCTGCCCACACATTCCAGTTAAAGGCAGAAATCACACAAAAAAGGGTGATTTAAGGATAAATCTGTCTTAAAACAACACGCCCCAGCACACATGTAAAATATGAGACACTGAACTTCATCCTTGTGTGTCCACTGTGTTTCCCAGCTTTGTTTTCTCTAGGATTTTTACTAAAAACAGAAGAAGTTTGTGTAACACAGACTTGTATATAGAACAGAGATTAATACAGTATCTGAAGCCACGGGTGGTTTAACTTCGTCTGAGACACTGTGTGGATTGTAAACACAACACATTTACATGATCTCCAACAAGGAGAGGATGTTTACAGCAGACAGGAGGCGTGACTCTCTGAGGAGAAGTTATATAAGTTGTAGGATAACAGTGAAAGAACGAGAGCTCACAACAAAACACCTCACTGGCCTGAACTGTTGATGCGTCGCTACATAGCTAACGTTAGCATTAGCAGCTGTTTACTCACCAGTCTAGAAGAAACGTTGTCAGCTGTCTCCAGAGGAGAGCAACGTTAACTCTTGTCTCTATGACTGAAGTTAGCATGCTAACCAGCTAGCTGCGGCCCGTCTCGTCTCATCACTTTCCGATGGCGACTCACTTTAGCTTCCAGTCTGCCGTGGTCGAAGGTCACAGCGACCTGACAAAACTCGAATGTTTTTAAGGATTAAATGAGGTGATGACATTTTATATCCAAAAGGTCAAAGGTCAACTTTGCTGTGACATCATAATGTTCTGTAAAAACACTTCTGGTCATTATTAAATGCTGTCACTCAGGAAGGAGAGTTTGGCCCTATATTTCCTGTTACTTTGCCGGTTGGCGGAGGGATACAGCTGCGAGGAGGTCATTCTAGTTCATGTTGAGCTTTAACCCAGTTGCTCAGATCCACTGAAACCACAGTGTTCGTGCTGTGTTCAGGTGACACTGTGGCTCCAGCGAAACATCTGTTACCACGAGAATATTAGTGTTTTAGTTTCATTATGAATCAGTTCAAAGGGTTTTAATTAAAGGTCAAACGTTCTGTCTGCAGGCTGCTGATGTACATGAAGCTGCGCTGTGATCTGCCACCAAAGAGGTCAGTGTCTGTTTCTTCATCATCATCATCAGAAATAGATGCAGGGTTTGAAAGAAGAAAAGACACTGAGGAAAGGCGCTATCCTGTGGCATCATGGGAAATGTAGGATCCAGCGTTTTCATACCTTTGTGCTGTCTGTCTCGCCCTCGATATCTCAGAAACACCTTCAGGGAATTTCTTCAAATTTAGCACAAACTTTCACGTGGACTCAAGGATGAACTCACTTGATTTGGGTGGTCAAAGGTCAAAGGTCACCTCACAAAACTCAAATGTTTTTAAGGATAAAATGAAGTGATGACATTTTATATGCAAAAGTTCAAAGGTCAGCTTCACTGTGACATCATAATGTTCTGTAAAAACACCTCTGGTCGTCATGACAGCTCCATGTCAACGATAAGTAATTCGTTTTTGAGCCGTTTTGTTTTGTTGAAAGTAAAAGACGAAGCCACAGTACGGAGGGAAATCAGTCTGTTTAACAAGCTTATGTAATGTTTAATATGTAAATGTGTGATCTGTAAAGTAACTACAGCTGGCAGGTAAATGTAGGGCAGTAAAAAGAAGAATATGTCTGACTGACACGTGGAGGTAGAAAGTAAAACCAAACAGAAATATTCGAGTAAAGTTTGTTTTCTGGTTTCCTTCGACACTGACGTCACTTTTCTACAACAGATGTTACGGCCGCACTGAGGGAAACAATCTGAAATTCAAGAATGAAGTCAAAATATTATGAGAATAAAGTTGTAATTTTAGGTTTGTGTTGTTTTAGAGGGTCTGATTTTATTTGGTTTGATTGGTTGATGGTAATATTCCTGGAAATTATGTTTTTCTCTCAAAATTTTACATGAATTCTTGTAATATTATGACTTTATTCTCATTAAAATTACATCTTTATTTTCATAATATTATGACTTTTTTCTTAAAATATTATGATTTTACGACTTGTTCTCATAAATCTTTTGACTTGATTCTTATAATATGACTTTTTTCTCAAACTAATGTTTTTTCTCATAAAGTTGTGACTTTATTCTCCAAACTTTAAATTTCTTTTTTTCCTCACTGTTCTCCTAATAGTCCCTCGTACTTTTTGGTTTTAGAAAATTGAAATGAACATTTTTCGCTGTTTTCTGACATTTTATAAAATACAAAAATAAACAGGTGGCTCCTTCGTGGTCCAACGTATCCCAAGATTCATTGCGCTTCGGTAAAGAAAGCAAACAACACAGGCAGAGAGCCTGAGGATTACACTGTTAAATGTTTCAGCTCAGTTCAACAGCTAACGGTACAAGTGTAAAAACATGTTAAAACGTGTTTTCAAGGTTGCTAGGCAACAAAAAAGGAAAACCAGACCATCTCATTTCTGTCCGGCCTCCTCTGAAGGATTCGCTCTGTGACACAGCTGAAGCACTCGAGTGAATGTACTCTGTCATATCCCAGCTGATCTGTCAGTGACATAATGTTAATAACCATATGGAGGATTAGTGGATGATGATGATGATGATGATGATGATGATGTCATTGATTTGTTTTTGCAGCGCTGCGATCAATGTGTGTGCCACCGTCCCCGTCCCTAAAGGCTCCGTGAGGTGAGACGCTCCCATTCAAATGTACCTGCTCACCTGGACCTGCTGTTTGTTATTGAAATCAGTCTGTATGTAAAAACTGGTGTGTGTGTGTGTGTGTGTGTGTGTGCGTGTGCGTGTGTGTGCGTGTGTGTGTGCGTGTGTGTGCGCATGTATGTGTGTGTGTGTGTGTGTGTGTGTGTGTGTGTGAGAGAGAGAGAGAGCTCCACGTCTCTGAGGAGTGTCTTGTTGTGATTGTTTTTAAATGGGAAACAACATGAACAGCGTCTGAAGCGTGGAGATGGAGAGAGGGAAGCTCGACTCATTTGTTATTTAAAGCCATGGAAATGATTGATCGGGGCGGGGGGGGGGGGCACTCAGCCGTCAGCGTCAGAGTTAAAAAGCTCTCAGCCCTCGATGGCGGGTCGTTACAGACTCACGTTGAGCAGGAAGAAAATGTTCATTATAAGTTCAAATGTTCATATTTTGCATAAGACCTGAAGGAAAATCTCACATTTGGTTTAATGGTGCAGCCATGAAACCATAAATTCATGGATTTGAATATGTCACATCAGCAGGATGATACAGAACACACAGTGTGTTCAGGAAGTATCCGCACCCCGTCGCTTTCATTTTAAATAGATTTCATTTCCATTTTTTCCATCAGACAAAGTGAAAACATCATTTCACACATTTTGTTTTTGCAAATTTATTATAAATTCAGACCTTCAGTCCAGGACTGTGTAGAAGCAGCAGCTACAGGTTCCAGTCAGACCGGTCTGTGGTGCTGGTCCGGATCAGTCTCATGTTAGTAGTGGACCAGTCAGACCACCAGAGTCCTGAATCCAAACCCTCTGGTCCCAGTTCATCTCTGTGGTGGAGACTGACGGCGTCACATCAGCTGAAAGCTCTCGACAGGATTATCTATCAAATCTGTGTGTGTGTGTGTGTGTGTGTGTGTGTGTTCATCTCTGAAAGTGTTTCTGCCTCAGTGCTCCACCCACATCTGTAACACCACTACTGCAGGAACATCTGGACCCCGGTGACCTCTGACCTCCTCAGGCCTCACCTGTAGTGTCTTTACACTGCTGATGGGTGTGAAGTTGAATGTTTCTGTGTGTGTGTGTGTGTGTGTGTGTGTGTGTGTGCGCGCGTGTGTGCTGAACAGCTGAGCTGAACCGGTGTGTGTTGTGGCTTCAGTTTGTCGCAGGAGCTCAGCAGTCCGGATCAGAGCGCCGAGCTGAAGCCACAGAGCAGAGCCGTCGTCTGGCAGATACCTCGTTTCCCCGGAGGAACTCAGCTCTCTGCTCTGTTCAAGGTAAACACACACACACACACACACACACACACAGCTGCACACTAAATGAATGTGTATGAGTGTAGACAGACCCGTCCTGCAGGCGCTTCAGGTTCACAACTTTTTATCTCTCGTGTGCATCAGCCTCAATGTTTTAAATGATGTTAAAGGTCTCCTCCAGTGTAAAGGTCTGTGTCCATGTGTAGTGTGATTATAGATCAGCTCTAGCTTCTATATTAATACTGTGAAAGTATCAAAGCCTCAGTCCACAGAGAAATGCACACAGCCTGTATTCAGAAACTGAGCCTTAAAACCAGCCGTCAGGACTTCTGGAACTTTGTGATGTCACAACGAAGCAGTCACCAAGCCCCGCCCACCTGGACCCACCATCCAAACCTTGCAGGATTTGGTTTCTCTGAGTGTTTTTTTACTTGAAATCTGCTTTATTTTTATTGGATCACTCAGAAAACAGTCAGCCAATCAGAAGAGAGGCTCAGAGCCTCTCTCACCATCTTTCATCCATGTGTGATATTTAGATTTTGGACATTTCATGGAAGAAATGAAAAATGAGTTTAAATAAAGTTAAAATACAAAAGCAGATGTTTGAGTGTCACAGACGAGCAGCTGTTCATTCTACTGAGAAACAGACAAACTCATAATAACCACTGTCTAACGATTCCCTTCCCCCTCCCTCCTCCTGTTGCCAGCTGGAGGTCCCGGGCCTCAGCTCCGCCTCCATGTTGGAGGTCGGTCCGGTTGGTCTGAGCTTCGAGCTGCCGAAGATCACCGCCACGGGGCTGCAGGTCCGCTTCCTCCGCCTGTCGCCCATTCAGCCTGGGCCGTCGCAGCGCTGGGTCCGATACGTCACCCACTCCGACTCCTACACCATCCGGATTTAACCCCTTCATCTCTGATCACCGCCTCAAATGACGAATGTGTCTCATCAGGAGGAAACGATTCGTGGGACACAGGAAGTGAACTGCATGAGAGGAATCAAATAAAAGAAATAATGTCATTTTTTTCCTTTCAGAATAATTAATGTGTCAGTCGTTTTAATATCTGTTGTATTTTAAGTTTTTTACAACTGGACTTGAATTAAAGTCAAACCAACACTTCCTGATTCCCCCTCTCAGCTCTGAGCTCATTGGTTCCTACTGAAGATGTAAATCTGTGAAACACCAAACAAAGTTTCATTTAAAAACAAAGTCAGTCACTACATCTGTGTGTGTGTGTGTGTGTGTGTGTGTGTGTGTGTGTGTGTGTGTGTGTGTGTGTGTGTGTGTGTGTGTGTGTGTGTGTGTGTGTGTGTTTCAATGCGTGTTGTTCAGAGACGTTCAGAGAAGAAAAAAATATAATATTATTGTAATCTTATAGAGTTTGGGTGACCTGTTGTTTCACCTCTGACTGTCATCATGTCATGAATGTATTTAAACATCTTGTAAATAAACGTCGTCACATTTCCTCTCTGTATTCAAGGTTTCCTGTTTTTCCTCAGGTTGTTTTTCTGTTTTAAAAAACTGATCTTGAATATTTATCGGCACAAACGAACCTTCAGCTCAGACGTGTCAGATCTCGTTGATGATTTAATCTCACGTCTCGTCTGTCGGTAACTGTTGATGCTTGAGTGGTTCGTTCTGCGGTTTTCAACCTTATATTTTATGTCTGATGTGGCTCCCAGCTTCAAGCACATTGGTCTCGACTGAAGACGTTAATCTTAAAAAGAGTAAAATAAATAAATGTTTTATTGTTAAAAAAAAGCTCAATAATTTCACTGTGGTTTTTTACAAATAAACAGGAGGAAATTGACTATTTAGTTGGGACTATTTTCAGTGGCGGATTAATCCACAGTTGCTGCTAGTAAGTGTAGGACTTTTCAAAATAAAAGTTTTATCAGCTGATTTAAGGTAAGTGCAGATAAATCAGTATCAGTGAATCAGTTTGGTTCTTATTGTGGACATTCTGTATCTATACGGTCATTTCAATAAGTCTCTGGTTGTCTTTGGTCTTTTTGTGGTCGTTTTGTTCATTGAACTCGTTTCACTCCTCTGTGATTGTGTTACTCATCGTGTCTTTGTGTTCACTTTGCATCTATTTTTACTCATTTTACATCTTTGCGGTTGTTACATTCTGCTTGTGGACGTTTCCTGTCTCTTCGTGGTAGTTTTGCATCCATTTGTACTCAAAGTTCTGCCTCTGTCATGGTTTTGTGTATCTTTGTGGACACTTAGCTTTTCTTTATGATCATTTTTTGTTCTTTTTGTGTTTATTTGAACTCGTTTTGATAATAATTGTGTGTCTTTGTGGTCGTTTTGTGTCACTCAATGGTCATTTTATTTCTTTTTGTGGTTTTTTTGCAGCTTTTTGTTGTAGCTTTGTGTCTCTTTGTTGTTGTTTATATCTATTTTTCTCACTTTGTGTCTCTGTCGTCGTTTTTCATCTCTTTATTGTCATACAGGGGCTCTGACTCAGGGGCCCCTGACCTGGGCCCTGGGGGGGGGGGTAGTAGTGAACCCTCCACATGTCAGACCCAGTGAGTCAGTCTCCTTAATGATGAATCATCTTCTGTCTTTTTTAAAATTAAATGCTTCATGTTGTCATGTTCCTGGAGACTCTGCGTTGTGCAACGTGATCTGCAGCCACTGAAACAAAACAGAGAGAGAGAGAGAGAGAGAGAGAGAGAGAGAGAGAGAGAGAGATCCTGCCTTTGCGGAAGCCAGAGCAGTCGAGGCGGCGCTAAATTAAATTAGCATACTAACTAGTTAGCTGTGCGCCGCTGTGGATGGACGGGTGAACGGAGCTGCCTGACGAAATCTACCGTTTCTAAAGTCGAGACACCTCCGAGTCCGGGCTCATTTTGTTGGGATCTTCTTGCCGTCTGCCTGCCGAGGAGATGGGGGACAAGGCGGGCACCAGGTAGGACGGCTAGGCTACAGCGGCTAACAGCTAGTTAGCATCCGATCTCACGCACTTAGCTAACGTTAGCCGAGCTGCTGCTGGCCCGGGCGGGGGAGTTTTTGTCAGGCTCTTGCTGCAGAGATTTAACCGCTTTCTGAGAAAACCCTGACACGGGGCTCACTCAGCCTTTCCCCGGTTCGTGTTCGAGCCTCCGGGACGATGACCTCGTCCGCAGGAGGCGAAGTTAGCACAGCAGGGTGGGGTTAGCTAACCGCGATACGTCTTCAGTGGACAGGACGGAGCTCCAGCCTCCGCTCACAAATCTGTCAAATGTCGATTTCTTGTTGATGCACGTTTTAAATAAAAACCACAACAACTGAGAGATCATTAACACCAACTATTTCATCTGCTGCACTCAAACTAAACCCGTGTGTGCTTGTTTTTTTAATTTAAAATACGTTTTCGTGTTGTAGGCAGGAATTCCCACGGTGCTTTTCCAACAAAATACGGCCGTAGTGGGCGGAATCGCCCGCTGGAAATCTCCGGTTAAAGTCCAGATTTTATTGAAGTAAAGTGCCGTTTCGTGAAATGTGTCGATGCCGATTTCAACGAAGAACTTAAAAGATTCTCATAAGATGTAACATTGAGTTTTATCGCGTTGAAAACACAGGCGCCGGTTAAAATGAAAATATTTTCCAATGGAGTCTGGTGCGACCGTGCGTGTTGGGGGGCTATTCGGGGTTAGCCTGCTACTAATGCGGACTGTTTTCGGGTCTGGGCGCCGCAGGTTCATGGTCATTAGCTGCAGATGTGTTTGAATGTGTTGAAGAACTCCTGGTTTAAATAATACCTGATGGGAATGGACCGGGTTCGGTTCAGAGGCCGTTTACAGGCCGGACCGGGCATGTAAACAGTGTAAACGCCTCTGGCTCAGTTTGTTTTTGACTGATGAAGCTGCCACTGACAGAGTATGGAAATATATATTTATATATTTACATGTCACCTCCTGACTCAATGGTTCACAGGTTTCTGTGGCCTCAGGATCCTCTTTTTAACTGAGTTAGTGCTGTTTGTACAGGCTGTCCTCATGTGTTTCTCTTTAATCTTAATCTGGGATGAAAATAATGATTAATTTGATTATCAATACTATCAATACTAGTATCAATACTCGGTAAAATGTGCATCAAAGCCTAGTGTCCATGTGAAGTTGACTTGAGTGAGTTTCTTCTCCATTAAATGTGAGAAAATAGTGGAAAATGTCTGTTACACCTTCCCACAGTCCAGAGTGCTAACAGCTAACTGCTAACAGCCTCAAACCAGACTGTTCAGTTTATTGTCATTTATTCACAGAGGAAAAAATCAGGTCCTCGCACACGAGAAGCTGGACCCCACAAAAGTTTGATCCAAACAGTCACAGTGGATCCACTAATCGATAAATCGATCAATCATTTCAGCAGTTCCTGATCAGTGTTAAACTCTGTTTTCAGTGATTAAATAGATTTTCAACATGAAATAAGTTCTGAAATCAGTTTTAGGTTTTAAACCATCTTTGTGTTCTGATCATCCTGTTCACTCAGAGCCGGTTTTACACTCTGACAGGTGACGCTGGTTTTTATGTTGCCGACGGCGACGACAGTCTTCACGTGATCCGTCCGTCCCGATTCCTGAGTAACACCTGGATAGAACTTCTTCAGGTTTGGTCCAAACATTCACTTGGACTCGAAGATGAACTAATTAGAATCTGGTGGTCAAAGGTCAAAGGTCACTAATGTGACCTCAAGAAACACTTTTTTTGGCAATAACTCAAGGATTCATATGCTAACTATGACACAAGCTAATAGTAACACAAGCTAACAATAACACAATTTAACACCACTGTCTCACAGGATAAAATAAAGAAGTAATGACAGTTCTTATCCAAAAGGCCAAAGGTCAACTTCACTGTGACATCATAATGTTCTGTAAAGACTTCTGGTTGTTATCCTGTAGCTGCGTCCCAGTTCAGGGCTGTCGTCCTTCAGAGGCGACTAGACTGTCCCACTTCACATGTATCCAACAGGTGGATCCTTCGTGGTCCAACATATCCCATGATTCATTGCACCGGTAATGAAAGCACACAACACTGACAGAGAGCCTGAGGATTACACTGTTAAATGTTTCAGCTCAGTTCAACGGTGCAACTGTTAAAACCAAGTTTAACCGACCAACCTCAAGTTTATGTGGAAAAAAGTTACATGTTGTCAGTGTTGCTTGGCAACAGGAGCCACGCTTTGTGATGCAACGATAAGGGCGGGAACAGCTTCACAAATGTGAGAATTTGAATCTTTGTGGTGCGTGAAGGTGAACTATCAATGAATCAATCAGACTTTATTTGTATAACTTTTTTCATACAGACGATGTAACACAAAGTTCCTTACAGAACAGAAGCAGTAAATAAAAACAATAGAAATAAGACTGGAAAACAAATAGAATAATAAAACAGAGGAGATTGTGAGTAAAACCAGAAATAAAAGGATTAACAAGTTAAACATCTTAAAATATGTAAATAAATACAAAGATAAATAATTAAAATTCACTTAAAAGCCAGATTAAAAATGTAGGTCATGAGTTTGAATGTGACACTTGAAGACGTTGCGTAAATTTAACAGAAAAATGGTTTAATTAAGAAAAGAAGAGGCAGATTAATCAATAATGAAGTATCAGTTGTTTTTTTCCTGTGTGCGGCTCGAGGTTTCTTTTCTTTGCTTTTTCCTGCTCAGTGGATTTTTCATAAACTGATGACTATGAGATTAAAGTGCTGACTCTCAGCTTTAATCTGAGGCTGTTTACAGCCACAGTCCTGCATAGTGTCTGCGCACGCATGCACACACACACACACACACGCACACACACACACACACACACACACACACACACGTCTATCTTTGGCTCATGTTGCTTGTTTAGTCGCTTTTTAAATTCATAGAAATGACAACGTGTCTGTAATCCTCTCTGATTGGCTGCTGGATTGACGTTTATTATCGGGCGTCTTCGTCTGCCTCAACTTTTCCACCTCTCTTTCTCTCAGCTTTAAACTCCCAGTTACTTCCTGTTAGGAAACAGGTGGAAACTGGGAGGAGAGGAAACGAGCGGGAGGAAAGGCAGACGTCATGCGAGTGGTGACGTCTGGCTTCAGACAGGAAGACTGTGGCTCCAGAGGTCAGAGGTCGATCAGCTGTGGATCACAGATGATTCAGTGCCAGCATGTTGCTCCATGCTGAGAGTTTCTGTTCAGCTGCTTTGATAATAATTAATATCCTTGTTATTGTGCATCAAACGCTGTGTAGATTAAAGGAAGTTGTTTGTCGCTACATAGCTAAGGTTAGCATTAGCAGCTGTTTACTCCAGCATCAAACGTCATTCCTTTACTCGCCAACAGCTGGAAACAAACACCAACGTTAACTCTCGTCTCTTTCACGTCTTTTCTTCTACTGAAGTTAGCATGCTAACCAGCTAGCTCCAGCTAAGAATCCTCTGCTGTGATTCATATTTAGTTTAACATGATTTTCGTCTCCTCTCACTTCCTGGTTGAGAAATCTGGATCAGGCCTTGAGCCCCGCCCACCACCTGCTGGCTCCAGGTGGACAGGTGAAAGAGCAGAGAGCATCAAAACGGTCAGAGGAGGAAACATCAGAGAGACTCAGCCACATGTTTGAGCCTCAGTCAGACCCAGACTCAGAGGAGGAGTCTGAGACCAGAACCAGAGACTAGCAGACGGGTCAGAACCGTTAGCGCAGCTAGCATCTTTTATTTGTTTATGTTGTTTGTTAGTTTGTAACTGACAGTGACTGATACAGCGTTAGCGGTTGTGCTAATGCTAACTCTCTCTCTCTGTACTGACAAGGTTTCAGGTGTATTTAGCCCCGCCCCCCGTCCCCCACAAGTCGTCAGGATTGGTTCCTCGGGTTTGTGACATATGAAACCCTGAATCTGTGTTTATGAGACTGTGATTGGTTCACTGCAGGTCGGAAACACTCAGCACCCATCATATGTCTGTATTATATAAAATCTCTCTCTCTCTCTCTCTCTCTCTCCCTCCCTCTCTCTCTCTGGTTCTGTTCAGACTCTCAGATCCTGGTCTGGTTTAATACAGAACACCTGAACCAAAGAGGGCTGTTGTGTGAACCACAGACAGGACGCTGGATGTGATCCTGGTCTTTGTATTTGGGGTTTTGTGGGCGTGTTGACACCTGCAGCTCCAGGTGAGCAGTGTTGAGTCAGGTGTTAAGTTGCTGCAGGTGTGGAGTTTTATCAACAACGTCTTAATGACGACACTTAAATAAGAATCGTTGTCTTTTCCCGTCCGTCTCTCTGAGTCTGATGAGAAGTGATCAGCTGAGTTTGGAACCAGCTGAAGGCGGGACAGTGTGAAGGCAGGTGTGACCTCTGAGCCGACGCTCGACAGAGTGACGGATGAGAGGTGACGATCGCCCTGCAGGACCCAGGTCCGAGTCCTGGACCCAGCTCCGAGTCCTGGAGTCTGCAGCAGGTTCAGGTCTCGGTTTGTGTAACGCTGTGACACAACTCGACAGTTTAAGTCGTCGTCTGTTGAAGCAGCTGAAACTCATATCTGATCTGTATGTTGTGTATTTATCCATAAACAGGATCAGTTTGAGCGTTTGTCTCCGTGAGTCGTTCTGTGGGAACAATCAATCAACACTTTTATTGTTGATTGATTTATTTATTGATTTCTCAGTTCAAACACAGAGACTCACTTCACTGTCACACATTTAACAAACTGGAGAATCATCATTAAAAAAGCTTCAGATTTAATAGTTGAACTCTGAAGACCTGTGCTTTCATTTATACTAATGTTTCTAAAAGTGTTATTTCACATTTTCTCTGATTATACAGATCTGAAATCTGCAGGTCTGAAAAATCACTGAATTCACTTCCTTAAAAAGTGAAACGTTATTGAAAAGCTTTAATTTTCATTTCCATTTAAGTCTTGAATATTTTTTCCTGCTTGTTGTTTGATTGACAGCTGTTTGCACCTGTAATATTTACAGGTGACACTAGTTAAATGAATGTATTATTTTTAATTGGTTAATCCAAAATATTAGTGATATAAATTAGGGCTGTATCTTATGATTGTTTACATCTGGTAATCAAATCAATTTCAATTAATTGATTCATCGTTTGGTCAGAAAATTGTGGAAGGCCGATCACAGCTCGATGTGACGTCTGCAGAATACTCATCGACAGTGAGATGTGACGAAGAAAAATCTGATTCAAGAGGCTGGAAACAAAATATTTGTATTATTTTTAATTGAAAAATGATCAAAACTGTTAATTAAATAGTTGCTGATTTTATTTTAACTAATCGATTAATCAATTAATTGTTTCAGCTTCAAAATAAATGTCAGTATAAATGTCAGTAAAACACATTAATAATATGTAACATAATTAGTGACAAATATATTGACATACGGCCTTATTGTCCCTCCTGGCTCTCCATCCTCTGTGACTGTTACAGTCTGAATATGAAACAGTTAATCAATCAATAATCAATCAGGTTTATCAATAACATATCGGTGATTAGTAGCTGCAGGTATGAAAACGACCATCTTTTCAGAGCTGGAACGAAGTGACTTCCTGGTTCCTGGTTGATCATGTGACGGTGGTGTTGCACCTGTCTGACCAGGACGGACAGGAAGGACGGGCTGGACTACCAAAATAAGACACAGATTGTGAGGAAGTGGAACTTTCCTCTCACACCAACAGTTTTTCAGGATTTAGTTTCCATTTTTTTTCTACTTGTGTTCCACTCCAGCTGAACAGCAACATGTTACTGACGGTGCGTTCACTGTCGGCCCCGAAACATGAGTGACACGCATTTGTGATGAGAGCTGCTGCAGAGGAAGTTTATGAGGAACCAGTCGGTCAACATGAGGAAGTGCTGTCCACCACTGTGTGTGTGTGTGTCTCTGAGTGTGTGTGTGTGTCTGAGTGTGTGTGTGTGTCTCTCTGAGTGTGTGTGTGTGTGTGTGTCTGAGTGTGTGTGTGTCTCTCTCTGAGTGTGTGTGTGTGTGTGTCTCTCTGAGTGTGTGTGTGTGTGTGTGTCTGAGTGTGTGTGTGTCTCTCTCTGAGTGAGTGTGTGTGTGTGTCTCTCTGAGTGTGTGTGTGTGTGTGTGTCTGAGTGTGTGTGTGTCTCTCTCTGAGTGTGTGTGTGTGTGTGTCTCTCTGAGTGTGTGTGTGTGTGTGTGTCTGAGTGTGTGTGTGTCTCTCTCTGAGTGTGTGTGTGTGTGTCTCTCTCTGAGTGTGTGTGTGTGTGTGTCTCTCTGAGTGTGTGTGCTGTCTTTACGGAGTCATTCAGTCAGTGAATCAACAGGAAATTAATCTGCAACTTTCTGATAATTGATCATGTTTTTTTTTTACTGCTGGTTGTTAAAGTTAAGATGCTTTTTTTGACAAAACATTAAGCAACTAATGAAGAAAATAATCTGCAGATTAATTGATAATGAAAATGATATTAGTCGCAGCTGTAATGCGCTCTGACCTCGACCACTGGAACATTTTATTAATCCCGTCACCAGTGAAACTCACTTAGTCTGAGTCTGAAGGAAGGATGAGAGGACGGAGGGTAAATGTGCAGATAAACAACCTGATGAATGGACAGAGAGACGAACACTGCTCCTGTCCAGACATGAAGAGGCAGCTCACCTCATGTTCAGGTGACGCAGTCCGCCGTCACAGGAGACGAGCCTCTCCTCGTCCCCGCAGACCTTCGCTCGCTCGCCGGCGCCGCACGTTTTGGAAGCAGCCAGCCGAGCGTTAAAGCGTGTTTACTCGTTACTCGAGCTCGTTCCCGGGGGCGACCGGTCCAACCTCACAGTGCTGTGGCACAGGGAGGAGGATCTGGAGGAGGAGGTTGTTGCACAGAATCTCTTAACATGTTTCCTTAGTTAAGGACAAACATTAAGGCATTTGCAGCAGTGGAAGGGATTTTACAGCAGTAATATTCTACAGTTTCCATGGAGACCGTTTGTTTGCTGCATTAGCGCCTGTGACACCTGTTCACATCTCACCTGTATCGTCTCACAGAGTTACAAGGAGAAAAAAAATGTCTTAAACAACAAGATTAAAGAAGTTTGTCGCTCTCTCTCTCCTCCTGATGTTGTCATGGAAACGTCACCACAGTGTTCAGCAGAATATTGATCTCAATAATCATGATTATGACTTGAGCCGTATTGGAGCAGCTCTCTCATGAACGCCGGCGCCTCAGAAACGTGTGAATCTGTTTGAATTTGTGCTTTGAAGTGGAGATGATCTAAATATAACGGCGGCGTGGACAGGAAGCTGTAAACACTTGACTGAAACAGGGAAAGTTCTCAGAGCTCAGATGTCTGAGTTTCCCCTGAACGCCCCGACAGAGTTTTTCTTTTAACCAGAGATGTGAGGAGGCAAAGCTGCTTTTTGTCACTTCCTGTTTGCTTTGTTGTGGGCGTCGACTGTTACAGGATGTGACCGGGAGTGTTTTCACACCTCTCATGTGCTTCATGTTCGTGTGCTCTCACTGGTTTGGTTCAGGCTGGTGAGGAAGTTCTGATACTGACCCAACAACTGGGCCGAGACCACCTGAGGACGGTCTCGGTCCGGGTCCAAGTGCATTCTGGGTCAGGGTTTCCAGACCAAAGTCTCTTGTTAACGAGCGTTTCATTTGCTTTGATCTGACGCTTTAATTCACACAAACTTTTTATTCACCAGCTCCTTCATCCAGATTCTGAAGGTCCTGTTCAAAAAGTTAATAATCCTGAATTATTGATCTGATATCAGTGACTCATCTAGAGAGAAGACGTCTCACTCTGCTGGAAATACAGATGTGCTGTATTGTTATATCTGAAGCTGGGGAATGGAGACAGATTTACTTGACAAATGACTAAAACAGTGAATTAATTATTAATTAATTATCAGAATAGTTTCTGGTTAATTTCCTGATCGTCAGCTGTAGAAGCAGCTGAACCTCAGAGTCGTGTTTCTGCATTAATGCACCGAGCTGTGGCCTCATTACATGTTTGTATTAACGAGCAGCTGCACAGGTGACTAATGAAGTCACCACTGACTGTATATTACAAATTAAAAGCACAGAAATATAAAGTAAGGAGGTTTTGAAGTGAAAAATGAAAGCTCCATATTTTCTTCTTCTTCTGTGTTTTATTTGAAGTGTTGATCCATCAGAAGATATAAAAACCATCTCAGTGTAGTTTTACATCTCCTCTCTCAGGCTTCTCTCTGGAGCTCTAGTAACAACAGGTCAGTGAGCCAATCAGAAGAGAGGAGGCTCTGAGCCTCTCTTCTGATTGGCTGACTGTTTTCTGAGTGATCCAATAAAAATATAGCAGATTTCAGGTAAAAACACTCAGAGAAACCAAATCCTGCAAGGTTTGGATGGTGGGTCCAGGTGGGCGGGGCTTGGTGACTGCTTTGTTGTGACATCACAAAGTTCCAGAAGTCCTGACGGCTGGTTTTAAGGCTCAGGAGCAGGTTGCAAAAAACGCCAAAAAGAGATTCTGTTCAACACCCTTAGCTAAGGAAAAACTTCATTTTCTTCTTTTATCACATTAAACTCAATTCTTAAAAACATTTTAAGGATGAAACTTGAGGGTGTTTTGTTCAACTTCTTTTATTTTAAGGAAACTTTCTCTCAGACTTTAAGGAAAATCTTGCTTTAAGGTGTTTTGTGCAGCTGGCCTCAGTCTCTGAACACAGGCTGTGTGACCTGCTTTATATCAAACACATGGACAGAGAGCTTTACACTGGAGGAGCTTTAGAAAGAACAGGAGTTTTAAAGTTCCAGTTTTGGCACCAAATCCAACTTATTAATCATGTTTATTGATGATTGATTATTGTGTTTCCTGGTGAACATCAGCAAGTAGAAAGTTTGTGGGCGTGGGGTCTGTCGGTCGCAGGGCGAATAGGAAGCCTCCACCTGTCCCCATTAAACCTCAGTGGTGACATCCCATAATAACCAGGTCACAGAGGCCGAGTCTTCTCAAACCACTTCCCTCCTCAGTTTCCTGCTGTGTAGAAATAAACAGTTTCCTCAGATCATCGTGATCACAGTTTCATGTTTGTCGATGTTTTTCACTTTTCTGCTAAAATCAACACGGACTGAGACACATGAACCCCCCCCCCCCCCCCTCCTTCAAAATAAGACTAACAGTGACCCCCCCTCTCTTCCTCTTTCCGAACCTCAGAGTTTTCAAGAAGTCGAGCCCCAACTGTAAGGTGAGTCAGACTTTCAGCTCTTCCTCAAATGAAACAACAACCTGCTGATTGATTGATCGCCTCTTATTGAATATTTGTAACGACCGTATTTGTTGTGATCGGTCTGACCTGTGCAGGTGACAGTTTACCTGGGAAAGAGGGACTTTGTGGATCACCTGGACCACGTGGATCCAGTAGGTGAGTCGGCTCACCTGGAGGTTTTTATTGACAGGGTGTCCAGAGTTTGTGGTTGAAAGGTCAGGTAGCAGCAGTTGAGTGAACACACTGTGGTGATGACGCGGCGGTTTGTGTTTCTTCCTTCCTGCCGACAGACGGCGTGATCCTGGTCGACCCCGAGTACCTGAAGGACAGGAAAGGTGAGGCCGCCTCCTCCTGAGCTGTGGAGCCACGCCCCCTGGAGGGCCTGTTGTTTTTAACAGACGAACTGATTGACAGATGAAATAATCTGCAGAGACAAAGACAAAACAGAACCGTAGCTTTTCTCAGGTGACGCCTCGTTTCACTTCACCTGCTCCTCCTCTTCCTCCTGTAGTCTTCGTCACACTCACCTGTGCGTTTCGATATGGACGTGAGGACCTGGACGTGCTGGGTCTGTCCTTCAGGAAGGATCTCTACATCTCCACCTTCCAGGTCAGAGCTCCACCTTCACTTTTCTACTTCAGTCCTGCACTAAAGGTTTAACTCTGAAGGCTGCTTATAGACCCAGGTATGATATGTCCCCCCCCCGTCAGGCCTTCCCTCCGGTGCCTGAGGAGCGGAAACCAAACAGCCGGCTGCAGGAGAGGCTGCTGAAGAAGCTCGGCCAGCACGCACACCCCTTCTACTTCACTGTGAGTCACCGCCGCTCCTCAGCGCCTTTCCCTCCTTCGCTTCTTTACTTTATTAGAGCAGCCCAGTCTTTAAAGGGACGGTGTTTGAGGTCGTCGTATATTGTCGGTACATCAGAGCGTCAGAGCGAAAACACCTGCTGAAACAATCCAACATCTGTTTAAAAGAAGCTTTGTGTAGAATATTCTCAGTCTTTATCTTCCTGGTCGCTGCCGCCGCAGGTCAGCTGACTGAACCAGCGCGCCACAGGTGAGAAATGTAGTGCCAAAGGAAAGTGCTGTTTTCACAGGAAGATAAACCTGATGATGTCACTTCCTGTTAATCTCCACACAAAACCTGGATATCATTATTATTATTCTCATTAACTGCCAATTATTATCTTAATTCATCTGTTAATTGTTTAATCTATAACATGTCAGATTCTAGTGAATCATCTTCTTTTGTCAAATCAACAGTTTAAAAAGTAAAACTCAAAGATTCAGTTCAAATCCTCAACAGAAAATTGATTGATCAAATCCTCAATCAACTAATTATTGCAGCTCTATTATCATTATCATTATTATTGCTGTTGTTGTTAGTGGTTCCCGGCCGCAGGAGCAGGGCTGCGGGTCACAGCTGTGTGAACGCTGCCCCCGGTGGTCAGAGCGGGAACAACACAGGAAGTTGATCCTGATGAATGAACTCTTCTTTTTTCTTTCTTCTGATTCAGATTCCTCAGAACCTCCCCTGTTCTGTCACTTTACAGCCCGGCCCAGAGGACACCGGGAAGGTAACACACACACACACACACACACACACACACACACACACACAGTTGTGTTGTTTGTGTCACATTAATGTTTTCAGCAGCTGAAACCTGGGACGTTTCATCCAACTTTATTTTTATTTGTCTTCCAACGATTAGAAAAACAAGATAATTGAGATAAAACGATACAATCTAGAACCCAGAACCATGTGACATCATCGGTTCTGCTCTCTGTGCTGAAGAAAAGAGGAAACTAGATCCCACGCTCAGATATCTTTCATTGGTACCGTGTGTAATCAGAATAACTGCGGAAACACAAAGGTTTTTATTTTTTCCAAAGTCAGTGACAAATTGTGTTGAATAATAAATAATCAATATTAACTATTAACTAACCATTATTAATAATTGTGATGAGGATTTTTGGCCATGATCAAGCAGCTGCAGCTTAAACACCAGACAAAGACTTTAAAAGTAGAAACTGAGGAAAAGTTGAAAAAAGGCCTTTAAGGAACTTTTTTTAATGAATAGAAACTTAAGTTCGCCTGGAAAGTCCTTGAAAGTTCCTTGAATTGAATCTTCAGGAAGGTGCGTGAGGCCGCGTTCACACTGGAAAAGCAAATAAATGTGTGAATTCAAACAGTTTAGATGATCTGTGTGAAGGTCTGACATGTTTACAACAGATCATTAACTAGTCTCGTTAAAACCCCTTAAACTGCTTTAAAGTGTCTACTGGTTTTAACTAAATGAATCTTCTGGTTAATGTAGTAAATAGTAATAATTTGTGGTGTGGGGGTTCAGTTCCTCTCTTCTGATTGGCTGTCACATAAAAAAGTCTTGGTCCTGATTGGTTCATGACGCCACGACAGTAACAGCCCGTCCTCTCTCTCCTCAGGCCTGCGGGGTCGACTTCGAGATCAGAGCTTTCTGCGCCAAGTCGATAGAAGAGAAGATTCACAAGAGGTGAGTTCACACCTGCAGGAGGTCTCACGTTATTCAGCCGCCACGAGGCGACGGCGGTTTAACGTCCGACGTGCCTCAACAGACCGAGCACCGGGTCTGATTGAATGTTTTTAATCACTGTGGCCTCTCCATTATTATTATTATATTATTTTACATTTCATAGACAAAATAATTAATGGAGAAAATAATCAGCAGGTTAATTGTAGAAGAAATAATTTAGTGTCAGAACGTTTGACCTGCCTTGTGAGGTTTCGTCAGAGCTTCACACTGTGGGGAAAATGACATTTCTAAAAGTTGGACCACTGATTCAGAATCAGCACAACCTCAGCTCATTAAACACGTCCCTGGATAAAGACGTCAGGACAGTGTGACAGACGTTCACAGCCCATAAAACAAAGAGAATCTTTTTCCTTATTTTAAAGAGAAAAGCTGTAAACCACGAAAAAGAAGGAAAATGTCGACACAGAAAGTTATAGAATTATCATAAAACGATAAAACATGCTCTTCACAACTTCCTGGAGTTCGACGTGACGTGAACGCCGGTCTAAGACGAGGACGGATCAGCTGATCTCTCCCGCCTCTGTGTCTGAGCAGGAACTCGGTGCGTCTGGTGATCAGGAAGGTTCAGTACGCTCCGGAGAAACCGGGACCTCAGCCCATGGTGGAGACGACCCGCAGCTTCCTGATGTCGGACAGATCCCTGCACCTGGAGGCCTCTCTGGACAAGGAGGTACGCACGCACACGCACACACGCACACACACACGCACGCACGCACGCACACACACACACCAAGGAGATGTTTTCTCCTCACGTCCTCCGTCTGCTGCTTTAACAGTAACACATGTCTTCTTCTTGTTGTAGCTGTATTACCATGGAGAGCCCATCAGCGTCAACGTTCACGTCACCAACAACTCCACCAAGACCGTCAAGAGAGTCAAGATTTCCGGTGCGTCTCTGTCTGGTCTTTGTTTTCTCATCAGAGACAGAAACACATGAGGTGGTTTTTACTATGAGTCAGAATAAACTCACGTGTCTCATTAACGACTCCTCATACACATCCTGCTCCTGTTCCAGCTTTTATTTTGAAAGGATGACTCCTCACTTCCTGGTCTAATTGATCATTTGGCGCTCGCAAAGCAAAGTCAGTGTTTTTATATTTTATATCTGATATTAAGTCATGAGTGTAACAGCTCTCTCTCTCTCTCTATTCTTTTCTGTGTCTCTCGCCCTCTCTCTCTCTCTGCAGTGCGTCAGTATGCAGACATCTGTCTCTTCAGTACTGCCCAGTATAAATGTCCAGTGGCCCAGCTCGAAGCAGAGTAAGTCCCAGTTAAACCTGTGCTCCCAGTGAAGAATCTCCGCAGGGCCAGTATATCACACTGAGCATGTGCGAGCAGGTGTAAACAGGAAGTAGATTGTCTCCAACAAAGACAGCTGTAGCATTAAAATAGAGAATGTAAGTGAACAGCAGCTGCTAGAAAAGACAACGAGGTCATTCATCATCATGTTGTATTCACCACTGGTAGTCCAGGCTGATGACAGCCAATCAGGAGAGACCGTGGGTGTGACCTGGTCGTTTACAGAGGTCTCAGCTTCTGTCCGTCCAGACTACAACACAACCCCTGAGTTTTCAGAATAAAACACAACCACCCAGAGTTTTCAAAATAAAACAATTCCACCAGCGTTTCCAAAACTCTGTTTTCGGGTCTGAAACTCTGAAGTCGTGTGGACGGCAGGAGGAAACGTAGAAGAAGAGATGAGTTTTCAAAATAAAACATAGTAGTGTGGATGTAGCCTGAGGTCAATAACTATAAATAAAAACAGATTTAACACCTGATTCTTGTGTAAAGCTCCGAGGTCATTACAATTTACAAAAACATGACAATTAAATGAAATTAGATTTTTTAGAAATGATTAAAACATTTCTTTAAAACCAAGATAAACAATAAGATTCTACTGACAGCTGATGAACCGTTGTGTTTAATATTCACCCAGCACTGGACAGTAGTTTGAACTGATCTGAAGTCAGGCTGTGGAGTGGGCGGGGTTAACCTGGACTGTGTGACTGACTGCAGTGTGTGGTTTCCACAGCGACCAGGTGTCGTCCAGCTCCACCTTCTGTAAGGTGTACACTCTGACCCCGACGCTCGACAAGAACAGGGAGAAGAGAGGACTCGCTCTGGACGGCAAACTCAAACATGAAGACACCAACCTGGCCTCCTCCACCATGTAAAACACACACACACACACACACAGATGTGCACAGGTGTGTTGGTGTAGTCACATGACCGCGGCGCTCTTGTTGTGTGTTGCAGTGTGAAGGACGTCACCAACAAAGAGGTTCTGGGAATCCTGGTCTCCTACAGAGTCAAAGTGAAGCTGGTGGTCTCACGTGGAGGGTACCACACACACACACACACACACACACACACACACCCCTCCCTCTCTGCTGACATCACTTCCTGTCCCCTCAGCCTCAGTGTTTCCTGTTGATTTCATCTGTTCTTGACGTGATGAAACGTTTGTGGCCGAGCTGGAACCTGGACTAAACCACCTTCAGGTTTTGTGGCAGATAAACAAAGAAACTTAATTACAATCAGTAACAGGAATCATGATGATGATGATGTTCTGGTCCTGAGCTCAGTTTAAATCTGGGTCGTGGACTGTGTGTTGGTTCAGCTCGGCCTCAGACTTCTGCTTCATCCACCTCCCTGCTGCTTGTTGCTGCTTGTTGCTGCTTGTTGCTGCAGTTTGTTGTAGTTTGTTGTAGTTTGTTGTAGTTTGTTGTAGTTTGTTGTAGTTTGTTGTGAACGTGTTGCCTCCTGCTTTTCATTTCATCTCCCTCTGTGTTTTTGGCTTTGTGCCCCCCCCCCTCAGGCTGCTGCGAGGCATGTTGGAGAGGTAAATGTGACTGGTGGCCTCAGGTGTAACTAAGTCTGATTAGAATCTCACATGAAAACACAGACTGGTTTAATGTCAACACACAGTTTTTAAATGATAAACTGGTTTCAAACTGGTTTTGGGTGTTTAAACAAGAGATACATTCGAGTTTAAACTGGTTTAAAACCCAGTTAAGCAAAATGTAAACTGCTATAATTAGATGTAAACTGGATTAAATGAGGTTTAAACTGGTTGTAAATGAAAACCTGAGAAAGAAGTTTTAAGTTTGTTTTAAACAAGATGTAAACTGGTTTAAACCAGAGAGAAACTGATTTTAAACTGGTTTAAAACCCGGTTAAACAAAAGGTAAATTGCTTTAGTTTAAATATAAACTTGTGTTAAAGGTTTAAACCAGAAATAAAACTTTATTGGAAACAGTTTGTAGAAAAAAAACTGGTTCAAACTGGTTTGAAACGTGTTAAAAACATCAGATAAACTGGTTCAGAGTCGTTCCTCCATGTTGATGAATCAAGATGTGGACTGAGCAGCAACTTCCTGTAGAGCTGATTGTGTGTGTGTGTGTGTGTGTGTGTGTGTGTGTGTGTGTGTGTGTGTGTGTGTGTGTGTGTGTGTTTCAGAGACGTGTCGGTGGAGCTGCCCTTCATCTTAATGCATCCTAAACCTGTGGAGCCGCCGGTGTCCCGCCCACAGTCAGGTGAGTTCACATCAGACCAGAACATCTGTCACCCACATTCATCCACTCAGACAAAGACGTTATGGGAGAATGGATTTACACACAGACGTGTCTGGATGAACCTTGATCTGACAGATTTTACATCCATGAGCTTTTTGTGAAACAGAGAAACAGTCGGTTTGTACGAATCTTTAATCTGTGCTTTGGTTTGAAATGAGACGTTCCTCCTGTAGAGGGAAGACGTTGAGACAAAAACATCAAGAAATACACGACAATGAAATCAATCATTCATTCATTCATCAATCATTAGTTCCTCTGAGAACAAAGACGTCTGATTCATGTCCGTCCTGTTTTCTTTTTATCATTCGTCTTTTAAATGAAACATCGTGAGAAACTCCAGAGTCGAAGGTCACGTCTCGGTTTGTTCGACCTAAATCCAAAAATATTCAGTTTACTGTGACAGAAAACGGAGACGAGCATTTTTACTTCAACAGTTACTGATTATTTATCGACAGGCTGTTTGAATGGTTTTATATCGTCCTGCTGCTCTGACTGGAGGGTAAACACTGAGAGGACGGCGTGGACGATGACATCACTGAGCTCCAGCTGATTCCTCCTCCAATCAGATTCTTTCAGAGAGTTTTTCCCCAGTGAAGTCACAGAGACGAGCAGAGAATATCTGACTTCACTTCCTTATATGATTGATTTCCTGTCAATCCACCATTTGATTAAGTGATGGTTTCAGTTCTTGTAATCTGACACACACTCTGTGACACTCTGTGACACTCTGCTCCGTCAGCCTTGATGTGACTCTTCGTACTTCCTTATCGTACACTGAATTACCATGGCGATAACGGCTGTTTCCATTGAAACGGTGCAACATGCTAATGCTAATATGTACGTGTGTGTTTTACAGCTGTTCCAGAGATGGACCCCCCCATCGACACCAACTTGATAGAGTTCGACACAAAGTGAGTTTCAGACCTGAGACTTTATTAAAACATTCAAAAACTTTTTAATATATTTTCATATTTACAACAAATATTGTTTTAAAATCTAAAATCTCAGCTGCTGCAGATCAAACTATAAAAACTCAAACGGCTCAGCTCGTGTTCCCCTCAGGATGAAGTGTAGTAACCGTAGTAACGGAGGTAACCATAGTAACTGAAGTAACTGTAGTAACAGTTTTAACTTTAGTAACTGTAGTAACCGTAGTGACCATAGTATGAATAAATGAACGTCTGTCTTCGTCTCTCAGCAGCATCTCCCAGGACGACGACTTCGTCTTCGAGGACTTCGCCCGCCTGCGACTCAAAGGCGTCGTGGACGACAAGGACGAGGACTGCTAGGAGCTCGCCAACCCTTCATATGCTTGCTTCAAAACCACCACACACACACACACACACACACACACACACACTCTTCACATTACATTCCCCGGTGGAGGGGATGGATTCGGGCATGTTTGGGAACGGGGGGGGGGGGGCTCGCAGGGGGCACAGTGGTGTTCCTCCTCTCTTGCTTCAGCCATTCGTCACGCCGCCGCCATTTTTCGATCACCGTCTTGTACAAACAGGATATATATTTGAAACATAGAAAAAAATAATCTTCTACGAGCAGTCAAGGTCTGTGTTCAGTGGTGATCGCCGTTTTTTCTTCAAGTAAATACTGTAGATGCTTTTTACATCATGGCTGCAAAGGGAGGAAACACACACACACACACACACACACACGCACACGCACACACACACACACACACACACACACACTCACAGCAGTCTTACACAAGCAACTGAAGTTTGATTTCACCAGCATCCACTCTCCCGCTCTCGTCACACTCTGAACTTGAACCCCTCCCCCGTCGTCCATTTTGTAAAACGTTTGTCTTGTTCTTTCTTTCTTTTTTTTTTATTGCCACTTTATTTCTTTTTCTTTTTGTTTTTAAGAATCATTCCAGCGTCGATGGAGGCGAGTCTCCATCTTCCACTAGTGTGGTGCTCGTCTGTGTTTTTCTTTCTGTCATCAAACTGTGTGAAAAGATCAAAACCAAAAAGTAGAACCTGGATGTAGATACTGTACAAATATATATTTTCCTGTTTAAACTGGACCTGCAGGTGAGTTCACCAGGGTCCCGGCACATGAAACAGCTGATTCAATATAAATGATCTGATTTAATTGTCACTCATTTCCTGAAGCAGCTCGCTGATGTCACTTTTAACAAATGTTACTCAGAGGAGGAAGAACAGAAAATATCCAGATTTCAACAATAAAGTCAAATATTTTTAAGGAAAAAAAACAGTGACAATGATACAAGAGCGTCATCATTTAAAGAAGAACAGGTGAAATATTCACTTAATCATCATTAAGAGGTTTTGATCTGGAACTAGACGTTCAGGTTTAACGCTTCTCTCTCAGATATTTGTTCCGAGCTCGACCTGCAGCAGGTTCAGGCCGGTGACGCGACGGAAGCCGAGAAAGGTCGCACTCACATATTTCTTTATCCCAGTTTTTCGAGATAACAAAATGGTTTTCTCGAGATACCGGAATATATATCTCGTTATCTTGAGATAACGGATAATGGAGCTTTGTTTTCTGAGATAATGGGATAATTACTCTGTGATCTCGACTTTACAAACCCGTTAGCTCGAACGACATAGACAAGATAATTATCTCAGTAACAGCTTCATCTCGAGATAATTATCTTGTTATAACGAGATAACAGAGTTTTCCTGATATGACGAGATTATTGTCTCGATAACGCCGTTATCTTAATAACGGAGCTCTGTTGTCTCAAGGGGATAAAAAGAGGTTAGCGAGTTCGGCCTTCCTCGGCTTCGCTAACGCAGCGATTGTTGTTGACGAACAAACAAAAATCTAAATGTTGAAATTTGAAGTGAAAGAACAATGAGACAGTTTTACACCAACTTTTTTACAGGATGAAATAAAAGTAGATTTTTCATATTTTGTGAAACAGAGTAACATCAGTCTGAAAACAGTCAGTACGTCTTACTGGTTTTATGTTTTTGTGTCGTTTGTTGAGAGAGAGAAAAACACGTGACATCACCAGACTCGCCTTCACACTTCCTGTCGGCTCACCAGGTGTGACGGAGTCTTTAAATCAGGTGTCTGTCGTTCTCAGGCTCGTTCAGCTCGTTCACTTCAGCTGGTTTCTGTTCACGTGGATCTGAAGTGAAGGCGTGTTTAAACTCACATCAGCACCTCTTCGCTTCCTAAGTGCTTTTAAATGGACGTTGGAGCTGAGCAGTAAAGTCTGTTTCTACTGTTTTTAAATAGAAGCTGAAACGGTCTGTGACTCGATCCTGGTTTAAACCATCAAACCTTCATCGTCGGCTCGTTAAAGGGAAATACTGGGGTTTTCTGTTCGGTTTATTATCATCATCTCCATTTAAAATCCCAACCAAACACGTTCATGTGATTTGATGACGAACTGTTACCTGCTTCGTGCCTTCTCCATCTCTGTTGCCAACACAACGACTTGTTTTAATTGCCAGAATCTGCAGTTTGTGATTTGTTTGTTGCTCAGCGGTAAATAACAGAAATCTACTGTAAGTAGGAAAAGTAAAAGTTGCACATTATTATTGATACAGCTGAGTGATAATTCAGAGTTATTGTTCTGTAATTAAAGCGATTCACACTTATGTCAAAATGACTTTTCAAATGCAGGATAATAAACTGTATTAAAAAAAACTCCATCTGATTTTAAATAAATAAATAAAGTTTATTCTTGTAAACTGTGACCTTTTGTCTGGTAAAATTACAATTTTGTTTTCATAAATTGCGGCTTAATTCTAATATCGTGATTTTATTCTTGAAATACGACTTTTCCTTACGTAAAACTGGGTCATTAATTAATTTTTTTGTAATGTTTTGCCTTTTTAAACAATATCTAAACAATTAAATTACTTTTTTCGCCTTATACAACTACACTTTTGCCCTTTAAAATTCTAAATATTTCCCCAAACCTCCCATCTCTTTCTTTCTTTAAAGTGTAATGCCACGTGACAAAGTTATTGTGTATAAATGGAAAAATGACCAAATTCTATATGGAATCAGTGCCATGAAAACCTCCTCAGCCAATGAAAACGTTAACGAGATGAGATTTAAAATGAACCAACTGGCTCCAGTGTTTCCCTTCAGATCCTCCTCTCCTCCCGACCATCGTCCGCGTCTCATTTCATCTTTCACTCTCTTCCTCAGACATGATGTGAAGGACTTCAGCAGCTCGGTGTTATTCTCCTCTTACATTTTCTCTCTACGTTCATTCTTCCAAACAGGCGGCTGATGACAGTTGTTGCTTTCCGACATTCGTGCGTCATCGTCGTCAGATCTTGTCTCTAACGACTTTTGTGTTTGTTGTTTGTTTTGTTTTGTTTTTGTTTTTGTTTTTCCCCCCCAAAAAAACAACAAACTGCACAGACGACATTTCAGACACACAGGAGCACTGCACTTTCATCGGACAAACAAACCCACAGAACTGCAGACGTTACTTTCTTTTGCTTATTTCAGGAAACAAAGAAGAAGAATGTTGATCTGTTTTTGTTTTGTTTTTTAATGCTCGGCCATTTTTCAAAAACAGTTTATCGTTGTTTTTGACGAGTTACGAAGCTCATCATCGGGTCGTCGACTAGCTTCACGCAAAACCCGCTTTATTTTTGAAATCTTAAAAACTGCCAAATTCCCGCCCTCCTCCACTCAGTCAGTCAATGAAGCTGCGACCCAGAAGGGACAAAGAAGAAGAAGAAACCGACACAGAGCATGTTTTTGATTTCTGATTTAATTTAATTTTGTTTTTTTCCAAGCAGTGCTGTGAATCGTACGAGCTGTGATTCTGTCCTTATTTTGTCGTGCATATGTGGGGTAACTTCGCTAAGTGTGAAAATATTTTGACAAGTGCCACGCCCCGGCCTGTGCGATGCTTTTACCATAATGTCTATAAAACAGGAGGTGATTTCTGCTGGTGGGACAAACACCAGAAAAGATAGAATTACGATTATAATGCTTCTGATTATTAATATTATTATGGTGACTATAATTATTATTATTACTTATACTGTATCATCATTTGCGACCATGATTATTCTCATAATCATTTAAGAGTCTATTGTTTTGCCATGTATTTTTTATTTTGAGATTTCTATTTTAGTTTTCTTTTTATTATTAAAGGTAAAATGAACTAACAGATACTGCTGTTGTGTGCTCACTGTGTAGGTAATGAGTGAATATTTAACTGAAGCTGGTGAAACATCGTCCAAGTTAAAAAATTCATGCAGTTTTTATTTTCATATATATATTTATATATATATATATATATGTGTGTGTGTGTATGTATATATATGTATATGTGTATATATATATATATGTGTGTATGTATGTGTATATATATATATGTGTATGTATATATGTATGTACATGTATGTATATATATATATATATATGTATGTACATATATATATGTGTATATATGTATATATATATGTGTACAGACCCTTTCCAAAAAATTTGAATATCATGGAAAAGTTGTTTAATTTCCATAATTCCATTCAAAAAGTTAAACTTTCATAGATTATAGATTCAGGGCCCACAATTTAAACGATTTCAAGTATTTATTTGTTTATTTTTACATAATTTGGGCTTCCAGCTCATAAAACCCACGAAAACAGGAATTCAAAAAATTAGAATACTGTGAAGAAATCAGCCCAAATTTTGCAGGGCATGAATGTTTTAAACTGAGTGTCACACACTAATCATCTACTAAACTCAAAGCACCTGCACAGGTTTCCCCAGGTGTCATTAAATTGCTTCAGTTCGGTTCAATTGTCTCAGTTCGGTTCAATATGGGGAAGAATGCAGACATGACAACTGGCCAGAAGACCATCATTGATACCCTCCATAGGATGGGTAAGCCACAAAAGTTCATAGCTAAGGAGGCTGGCTGTTCACAGAGTGCTGTGTCCAAGCATATCAATGGAAAGTCTAGTGGAAGGGCAAAAGAGATGACCGTGGGCTTCAGCGGATTATCAAACAGAGAAGATTCAAGAATCTGGCAGAGATCCAGAAAGAGTGGAATGAGGCGGGAGTCACAGCTTCAAAAACCACCACATTCAGACGCATCCGGGAGATGGGCTACAACTGTCGGGTTCCTCGGGTCAAGCCACTTCTGAACCTGAGCCAACGTAGGAAGCGTCTCAACTGGGCCAAGGAGAAGAAGGACTGGACCGTTGGCCAGCTGTCCAAGGTCCTCTTTTCCGATGAAAGTAAAGTGTGCCTTTCATTCGGGAATCAAGGTCCAAGGGTTTGGAGGAAGACGGGTGAGGAACAGAACCCAAGCTGCTTGAGGTCCAGTGTGAAATATCCACAGTCAGTCATGATTTGGGGTGCAATGTCCGGTGCAGGTGTTGGTAAACTCTGCTTTCTTAAATCCAAGGTCACCGCAACAGTCTACCAGAATGTTTTAGAGGACTTCATGATTCCTTCTGCTGAGGATCTGTATGGAGATGCAGATTTCATCTTCCAGCAGGACCTGGCCCCTGCCCATACCGCCAGAAGCACCAAAACCTGGTTTGATGCCCATGCCATCACAGTGCTTGACTGGCCAGCCAACTCGCCGGACCTAAACCCCATTGAGAATCTATGGGGTTTTCTCAAGAGGAAAATGAGGGGCACCGGACCCAACAACAAAGAAGAGCTGACAGCAAGCATCAAGGAGATCTGGGCTTCCATAACTCCCAGGCAAGTCCACAGGCTGATTGCCTCAATGCCACGTCGCATCGAGGCAGTGATGAAGGCAAAGGTATTGAAGATTGACATATCGTTTTGAAAGTACCATATTTTGATTGATTTGATGTGATCCTAATTTCTTTCTTTTTAGTAAATGGTGATTTCTTCACAGTATTCTAATTTTTTGAATTCCTGTTTTCGTGGGTTTTATGAGCTGGAAGCCCAAATTATGTAAAAATAAACAAATAAATACTTGAAATTGTTTAAATTGTGGGTCCTGAATCTATAATCTATGAAAGTTTAACTTTTTGAATGGAATTATGGAAATTAAACAACTTTTCCATGATAATTTTTTGGAAAGGGTCTGTATATATACAGTATGTATGTATATATATGTATATGTGTATGTATATATATATATACATAGCTCAGATTTGTAGATAATTTCAGATTTTTTTTTTTTTTGTCTCCAATACTTCGTGTGATTAACTGAGGGGCAGAACATTAATTGGCAATTATTTTGATAATCATATTAGTGATGCCTTAATGTGACAGTGACGTCTCTTCAGACTGTAAAAATACTTAATGAAAGCTAAAAGTTGTGTATTTAAAGTTGCGTAAATGTAGGTATTATTTTATTAATAGATTGATTTGATGACTTGATGAATTACAGATTTAACAAAGTAATTGATCGTTGCAGCTTCAAAGTGTCAGAAAACTTTTACTTTGAAGACTTTATATCGAAGCTTAATTTGACTGAATGGTGAACAGCATGTTACTTGAGTAGATGTACAGCACAGCATTAGTACTTCTACCTATGTAAAGGAGCCGACAGTGATGTCAGTGTCGTGGCGTTCACCTGAGCACCAAACAAACAAACATCACCATGGTAACGTAGAGTTTCCTTTTACAAACAGACGCAGCTCGTTTTCATTTTATAGCAGTTTATTGTAAATCACATCAGAGCAGGTTTCTGTGCTCCACAGTCCAGCCCCTGCAGCAGACTGGTGTTACTGGTGTTACTGGTGTTACTGGTGTTACTGGTGAGTTCCCAGTGTGAACAGGTGGAGGCCTCCGGTTAACATGTTCTAGAAAAGTTAAACTAACACACTGTTGTTCTGGATGAGCCCTGATGTAAAGTTTCTAGTGAGAACAGTGTCAGGGGTCAGTCTTTTATGTTTACTGTTTATTTTTCAGGATTATGAAAAACGTTAATTTAAAAAGAGGCGGCGTCTTCAGTCTCGCCGTCATAAAGCATCGTAGTCGTCGTCGTCCTCGTGCTTCCTCTTCAGTGACTCCCCGCCCGTGTTCTGTGACACCATATTGGTGGTGATGAGGATGTTTTTGGAGCCAATCAGAGACGGGTTGATGAGGACGTTGGAGACGGCCGGCGTGGACGGCGTCGCTGTCGGGACGAGAAGAGCGGTGACGGTTTAATTTAAGGTCACAACATTTTTATTTACGGGTTTCTTGTCAAACCTGCTGCAAAACATCAAAGGATGAGTTTCAGTCTGACTTCAGTTGTGTCCATTAGTGACGCTGAGATGAAGCTTCATGTGAACAGAGCGACACCTACTGGTCAGAACGTGAAATACAAAAACACTTGTACTTCACAAAGGGTCAGTATAAACTATGATTCAGGGTCAGAACTTTATTGTAATTACAATAAAAACAATCAACATCTGTGCCTGAACAAAAGCATCTTAAAGCATCTTTACTAATGTTACAATAAGATCAAACTGGAGTCTGTAAATAAAACCAGTCGATGTCTGTCAGTGTTAGAAACCCAAAACTAGAAAACTCATCACTCCTCTCTGAGGTCTTATAAACAGTCAAACGGGTCACATGGTCCAGACGAGAGCGAGGCTTCACGTGTCATCAGTGATGTCATACGTCTAAAATGATGAACAAGCTCAGCTGTTCTCGACTCGCTCTGCGAAGCTTGGATTCATTTTTTTGATTTTCGAAGAAGAAATGAATTTGGACTCAGTCAGAGGGAAGAATATCATCAGCTGACGTCCTGACACTAAACTGGTATCAGGTTAAAGTGACTGGGAGGAGGCGGGTTCTTACTGGTCTTGGGGGTGGCCGTCTGGGAGGGTGGAGGGATCTGCACGGTGAACCTCTGACCCGTCAGAGACACCGGAGCTCCGACTTTGGTGGTGACGGACTGGACAGACGGAGTTCCTGTGGAGGAGACACTGGTCACAACAGACTGGTCCAGTACACATGGACTGGTCCAACTGGGACTGAACATCTGGTGAGTGTAACTACAACAGGAAATACTGAGAGCGAGTCTGACTCCAGCTCCAAGACAAACATTTATTATGGTTGGTAGGTAGATAAGAGACAGATCATTCGCCTTGTGACTCTTCTGTCAGATTAATTCAAACTAGATGCTGAAGATGAAAACATTCAATCTGAAACTGATTATTAAAACTTGAGCTGGAGCACGATGGGACTCACCGAGCGTCGGCGTGGACGGTCGGCTGGAGACGGCGCCGACACTGAGGCGAGGCACAGATATCCTGCCGGCTGACGACGACACCTGGAAGAGAAGAGCCACATGTCAATGTCGTACTGGAGGCTCAAAGGAAACCAGGGTTACAGACGGAGAGTTTGTACCTTCTTCTGTATGGACTTGAGTCTGTAGTTGGGGGCGGTCAGACAGTAGCGGTCTGGAGGAAGTCGAGGTCCGGTGTAGGGTTTGATCAGAGGAAGAGGAGTCTGGTTCTTCTGCCTCGCAACTTCCAACAAGAACTGAACACAGCGGCGAGGAAACAACAAAATACACAACATGAGTTCAGCAGCTGCAGCTGATCAGAGTGGGAGGAGAGCGATCGGAGGGTTAACAGGCAACTTACGTCTCGCGGTGGTGGCGAGGTGAATGACTGGTCCATGCGGCACTGGATCGCCAGTTTGATGTCGTCTGCGTCCACAGTGGACTTCTTGGCGTGTGTGGCATAAATTTTGGCGTCCTCTATGATGGTCGTCACATATCCTACACATGGAAACAGCAGCTGAGCGATCTGAGCGCAGACACGACTTTAAGAAATATTATTAAAGGATCTTTCGTCTACAAAAAACACAAAAAACAACAACAATAAAGTCTAAAACTGATTTAAATCAGCTCTTTAATCTGATTTTTTAAATTACTGATTTTAATTACTGATTTATTCCATCTTTAGTTTTGAAAACACATTTTCAAATCAAAATATTTACAGACAAAAACCATTGATTAATGACGATGATAAAAATCCTGTCTGGTAATAATTGTTCTGAAAATACATATTCACAACAGTGAATATCAATATGAACAGATTAGTGAAACTATTCTGAAAAAACAGAACAAATACAAGTGAATTTTATCCGTGTGAAATCTTTAAATCTCCAGAAATAATTATGATGGGAAATGAACAACAATCTATTTATCAACATAAAATTCTAATAACAAAATCTGCAGCCATCCAGTTTTATGTCCCTCACAGGCCTCTGTACTGCTCAGCAGCAGCATTATCTTACTGTAGGTGAACTCCAGCATCTGGTTGATGACTCTGGGCTCATACTCTGTGATCCCCATGTCCTTCAGGATCTGGATCATCACCTGCAAAACACAGTCACCATCCATCAGACAACATAATGACATCAGCAAATCCAATACAGGTAGATAGCTTCACTCATTTCTAGCCAATTATATCTATTGTTAATTGTTTTTGTTTGAGTATTTGTAGCTTGATGTTGGTTTCTCTGAACATCTGAATGTTTTAGCTAATTGTCGGATATTATCAATTGTGTTGTTTTTGTTATTGACTGTTTTGATTACATTAGACTGGTAGCATCAATGTGATGCTATCATGTCAACATGGAGCAGAACTGAGGCTGTTTGAGAGCCAGTGTTACTGAGGTGTTCCTAATAAAGTGCTCACTGAGTGTATAGCGATGTTTAATACAGCGGTGTCAAACTCTTGTTCAAAGCTGATCGTTAATGTTCATTAATACAACAACAACTGACGGCTATGCTAACGCGCTAATCAGTCGCTATTGCTGTGAACGGCGGTGTAGCGCTAACGTTAGCTGCTAGGCTAGCTGGCGTTTGGTGGCTCAGAGAAATGTGCACAACTGCTTCTGTTACCGACGCTGACTGCAGGATTTAGACAAAACCGCGACCGGGTTTCGTTTAAGTTGCAGCTTAATGACACACAACCGCCACCCGACCGTTTACACCACGTTACCTGAGCGTCTTTCGGAATGGTTTTCGGAGCAGACATTTTAATTTTCCCCGCAGCGCCTTCGCTTCTTCTTCTTCTGTTATATCCGCTCACACACAAACCGTTAGCGACGCCGGCTGGTCAGGGCGAGATTATTATTACATTCTCGCGAGATTATCTTCAGATCCAAGATCAGAAAACCAGTTTAAATTCTTATTTTTAATCTTTTTACTTTACTGGCTGCTTTTCTTTTTTTACTGGTTTCTTTACAGAAATAATATTTTTTCAAAGAAATTAAATTTAAAGAAGAATAAATTTAAGATAACATTAAAAAATAGACACTAAGCTCATAACTGTGATTTATATATGGCCTATATATAATGTATATACTATATATGTGCCGTATATGTTTACATATGTGGGAATGTATGTGCATGAGGTATTCAATGGAGTGATTTATTTTGGTAAGTGTTTAATAAAAAAACATTATCATTATCATTATTATTATTATTATTGTTGTTGTCTTGTTTTTATTAGTAGTAGTACTATAAGTATTATTGCAGCTACAAGCTGCGAACACTTTAGCACGCCAATAATTTAACACTAGGAATTACCTCACATTTTGATCATTTGAACTTGACTCAATGGAGTATTTTTATATAATATTATACATTGTTTAATATTATTCAGTATTACAGTGATAGAGAAAGAACAAACACTGAAACAGCTTTAACAACAGAAAGCCTGCAGGGGGCGGTACAGTGACACATACCGAACTCTGGGTGTAAGAGATCTTTCTTTCTTTCTTTCTTTCTTTCTTTCTTTCTTTCTTTCTTTCTTTCTTTCTTTCTTTCTTTCTCAAACAGAATTTTGAAGTGAAAACTCCAAAAAATGTGCTGAAAACATCACAAATACACAATAATAATACTACAACTGTAAAAAAGACTACAGTAAAAGTACAGAAGTAATAGCAGCAAAATGCATTTTAAGTAACAAATGTGAAACTATTTAATGCACCTAAAATGGCTTCTTCTTTTTTCATATATATTGATTCCTAAATAATAATTCAAAGACCTTCCTTTACAATAATGATTATTTTTTTTGAAAGTTAAATCAAGTATAAAAATGTTTTATAATAACTTGTAAGGCAGGTCAGTAACTGAATGATCAGCTGATTTGTGTTCACACTCGGTAACGACGGACTGCTCTGACGGAGGAACTGAACATGAATGTCATTAAATAACGTCAGTGAAGAGGAACTGTGGAAGTCAAGAAGAGATATGGAAGAAAAGTTTCAGGTGCAGCTGCAGGTCTGCAGGTCAGAGAGGCAAAACCAGACCCCCCCCCCCCAGAGGTACAGTCAGGTAATGCAGATAAAGACATGAGTGTGACATAAATAAAAACTGCATTTGTGCTGCGAGCAGAGCTGATAAGAGATCTTCTCAGAAGTCATAAAAGACGCTCTGTATCGAGTCTTATCGCCTCCTCTGCAAACACCACCGTCAGAAGACAAAGCGCCGCAGGTTCCCAGAGGACTCCTGCTCCCAGAGGACTGGAGATTGAGAGTCGATGAGGGGACGGAGTGGAGCCGCTGATAAAGCTGTTGACTCACAGCGTGTCAAACAGCAGCCGCTGTGCACCTTTACCTGAGAGGACGGCTTGTGTGAATGAACACCTTTAACTGGACACCAGAGAGCTGCATCAAAATGTTCTGTTATAACATGGATTCAACACAGACGTCTCTATGCACCTGTTGTCATGGTTACGAACAGTTTTACTTAAGTTATCTTGTGGTCGAGGTTTGTTTTTCCTGGTTGGGTCTCGGCCCATTTGCACTTCCTTCAGTGTGGACAAACCATATTTCTCCTCAGGTGTGTCTACCTGCCCAGTGTGACCAGTGCAGGTGGTTCTGATGACTCTGATTGACTCTCAATACGGTCACTATGGTGGCCCTGAGAGGTCAACGTAAGAAAACACATACTTACAATACACACAACACAAGCCAGTACAGAAATGCGCTGGAAGTAGAAGTGTCTCCAGGGGACACCCGTCTGGGAAAGCTGTGTCCCAGTTCAGGGGTCGCATCCTTCGTCGACCGCGAAGGCCGAACTGATATGAGACGGTCCGGTCTACGGAGGACCACAAAGGATCCTCCTGTTGGAGCCTTCGTGGTCCAGGAGAAGAAGGACACATTTGAAGGAGCCGAGTCTAGTCGCAGCGCTGTGATGCAGCTCAGGTGTGACGCAGCTCAGGTGCGACGCAGCTCAGGTGCGCCGCAGTCGAGTTTGTCACTGTTTTTTGTCCCTGTGAAACAGCTCTGCTGTCTTTTCTACCTGCAGCGTGTTTCTGTATTTGCTCTTGTTGTGAGAATGTTGCAGTGCATTGAGCCTTCAGGGCCACCGTACATCAAAGAGCTAGCATGCTAACAGCTAGCTCTGCTGAGGTGAATCACGTAACACAGGTTGACGTCAGCCTCACATTCACTCATATAGATGAAAACACATGACCTTTGACCTCTGTACTGATGATGTAACATTAGCGGAGCAGGAAGGGAAGCTGCAGGTGTGTGTGGTGACAACAAGGAGAAACATGTTGCGTTTCCCACCGACGAGCTCCTCGCCAAACACACACAGTGACGGCGTCGGCCTCGTGTTTACCTGCGGTGTTTATGGAGACGTTCACACACACACATCCACGCCATAAAGCCATGAGAACCACGACACCTCTGCGACTGTACGCCGCTGTGTGTGGGTGGGTGTGTGTTTTTAAAATGATTAACCTTTACAGCCCATCGACCTCCTCCGGCTCGTAAACAAGGAGCTCCAGAAAATATGGATGTGACACAGATCTAACGTTGATCTTCTTTTTGGTATTTTAATAAATAAATGCTATTTTTTAATTTATCTACATATATTGACTTTCCATATAAGAAATAGATGTACACATAAAATAAAGGTAAAAATTATATATGAAAATTATTTTAAAAATGTTCATATATTGACACGTACGTCTGGCTCATACACATATGTATGTTTATGTATGTATGTTTATATTATAGACATATGTTACATGAATATAAATCCATCCCAAAGTCTGATAGTATATATTGATATTATAAACAGGAGAGTCATTTTCCCAGAATATGAAGATAAACATGTTTCGAGTTAATGAGATATTAATAATAAAAACATATAGAATTCATATATGTATGTTGTTTTAATTAACTTACATATATAAATATATATTGTTAACATATATGGTGAAAATGAATTGCCATGGTGTAAATTTAAGGTGCATGTTGAACAAAAATATAATAAAACGAGCATTATGTGCCTTAATTGCTTTTCTGTTGGTGCTTCTGGAAATGGTGGATATATATATTTCTCAATTTTTTATGATCAAAGCAGGAAAGATGGTTTATTATTTTAAAAACTTTCTCTTGTGGATGTGAAATTTTACATAAAAATAAAAAGATTTATTAAATAAAACATATTGTCACCTTCAGTATTTGGGTCATGGAAACCAAATAAAACATATTCCCACTTAGGAATTAAAAAATCATTACTATTTATGAATGTAATAAAAGCAGTTTGTTAACTTAGGTTTCTTAAGTTGAACAAACTTAGAATTATGAACATTGTACGGTGGCCTTCGCAGGACAAAGGACATACAGGGGTGAAAATATAAACTTTAAGGGAAACGTGCTCCAAACACAGAAATACAACAAATAAAGAAACAAATATAAATATGGAAAAAGAAATTAATTCATTTTAAGTTCTTTCATTTTTTTTTTACTTAACAAGTTTAAACTGACGCGACTTTTCTCGCCGAAGAAACAGGAAATGCTGTTTCACCATGTGTAAAATTTGGGCAGAAAGAAGAAGAACTGTAGCTGTGGTGAGGAGACAGTGATGGTCCTCGTGTCCTTGTGTCTTATCAGTTTGTTTTTCTTCTTCCTCTGTCTTCAGGTCCTTCACCGTCTCTCCCTCAAATCGTCCTGGTGTTAAAATTCACACTGCATCTCTGAGGAGGCGCCTGGCCACACTTCACAGGTGCAGTCTGGGTAAACAATGGCGGGAAGTGGGTATCAGGAGGAAGAGCCGGGCTGGCTTCCCCACCCCCCACCCCTCCTTAGCGTTAGCATTTTTAAGCAAGAGGTGTGAGCGGTCCTTGGTCGACTCTGGGTCGTGACCTTTGACCCCCACGTGTGTTAACATGGAGTGAAGTAAGACGCAGGTTAATAGTGTTGTTAAAGTGTCACCAGAGCTTATGTGTGAGAGGTCAAATCATGAGATTATTATTACAAGGCACACAGTGACACACACACACACACACACACACACAGGTTACAGCAGGCTGACTGTTTCTAGTCAAACACAGTTACAAACCTCTGGAGCCTCGCTGACTGAAACACAGTGGGGAGGGGCCGCTTTGATGTGTATGAGTGTGTGTGTGTGTGTGTGTGTGTGTGTGTGTGTGTGTGTGTGTGTGGTCTTGAACTTCACATGTTGACAGGTGAAACACCTGAAACACATCAAAACTGAGCTACAAATGATGGAGGACACAGTAAATAACAATAAATGAATGATTTTACTTTCCTGTCACGTCCCTGTCGTCTGGACGGAGATGGTTTGAAAATGAAAATGTAGAAGTGTGGACGTGTGATCTCAGTGCTTCACTATGAGCCAACCTTCAGCAGGCTGTCGTGTTGTTTCCTCTCTGCTTCTGTCTCTGTTTGTGCTGGTGGGAGTTTTCAGATTGTGATGTAAAGTTTAGAAAGTATAAGACACAAAGAAATGATCCATCGATTGCAACAAATCTCTTTATTTCTGCATTTCACACTGACGCTTCGCTCAGATATGAATCTATAACTCCACAGGGGTCATAACGAGGACGCCAGCGTCACATAAAACTGTAGCAAGGGTGAAGAACTTTTTCATTGGTTAACCATTAACGACCTGCAGGTCACATAGAGCTGAAACACACAGAAGAGACACGGGGATGTTAGAGAGTTTGAATCTACTTTAAACACTGAACGAAGACAGAGACACGGATAAACACAGATTAATAAACTTTATTAAAAATAATA